AGTGGCATCTACATCTGCAGAACATGAAGAACCAGTGGCATCTACATCTGCAGAACATGAAGAACCAGTGGCATCTACATCTGCAGAACATGAAGAACCAGTGGCATCTACATCTGCAGAACATGAAGAACCAGTGGCATCTACATCTGCAGAACATGAAGAACCAGTGGCATCTACATCTGCAGAACATGAAGAACCAGTGGCATCTACATCTGCAGAACATGAAGAACCAGTGGCATCTACATCTGCAGAACATGAAGAACCAGTGGCATCTACATCTGCAGAACATGAAGAACCAGTGGCATCTACATCTGCAGAACATGAAGAACCAGTGGCATCTACATCTGCAGAACATGAAGAACCAGTGGCATCTACATCTGCAGAACATGAAGAACCAGTGGCATCTACATCTGCAGAACATGAAGAACCAGTGGCATCTACATCTGCAGAACATGAAGAACCAGTGGCATCTACATCTGCAGAACATGAAGAACCAGTGGCATCTACATCTGCAGAACATGAAGAACCAGTGGCATCTACATTTGCAGAACATGAAGAACCAGTGGCATCTACATCTGCAGAACATGAAGAACCAGTGGCATCTACATCTGCAGAACATGAAGAACCAGTGGCATCTACATCTGCAGAACATGAAGAACCAGTGGCATCTACATCTGCAGAACATGAAGAACCAGTGGCATCTACATCTGCAGAACATGAAGAACCAGTGGCATCTACATCTGCAGAGCGTGAAGAACCAGTGGCATCTACATCTGCAGAACATGAAGAACCAGTGGCATCTACATCTGCAGAACATGAAGAACCAGTGGCATCTACATCTGCAGAACATGAAGAACCAGTGGCATCTACATCTGCAGAACATGAAGAACCAGTGGCATCTACATCTGCAGAACATGAAGAACCAGTGGCATCTACATTTGCAGAACATGAAGAACCAGTGGCATCTACATCTGCAGAACATGAAGAACCAGTGGCATCTACATCTGCAGAACATGAAGACCCAGTGGCATCTACATTTGCAGAACATGAAGAACCAGTGGCATCTACATCTGCAGAACATGAAGAACCAGTGGCATCTACATCTGCAGAACATGAAGAACCAGTGGCATCTACATCTGCAGAACATGAAGAAGCAGTGGCATCTACATCTGCAGATGATGAAGAACCAGTGGCATCTACATCTGTAGAGCATTAAGAACAAGTAGCATCTACATCTGCAGAACTGAATAACCAGTGGCATCTACATCTTCAGAGAATGGGAACCAGTGGCATATACACCTACCGAACAATGAAGAGCCAGTGGCATCTACATCTGCAGAACATGAAGAACCAGTGGCATCTACATCTGCAGAGCATGAAGAACCAGTGGCATCTACATCTGCAGAACATGAAGAACCAGTGGCATCTACATCTGCAGAACATGAAGAACCAGTGGCATCTACATCTGCAGAACATGAAGAACCAGTGGCATCTACATCTGCAGAGTGAAGAACCAGTGGCATCTACATCTGCAGAACGTGAAGAACCAGTGGCATCTACATCTGCAGAACGTGAAGGAACCAGTGGCATCTACATCTGCAGAACGTGAAGAACCAGTGGCATCTACATTTGCAGAACGTGAAGAACCATGTGGCATCTACATCTGCAGAACGTGAAGAAACAGTGGCATCTAACATCTGCAGAACGTGAAGAACTAATGGCATCTACATCTGCAGAACGTGAAGAACCAGTGGCATCTACATTTGCAGAACGTGAAGAACCTGTGGCATCTACATCTACAGAACGTGAAGAACCAGTGGCATCAACATCTGCAGAACGTGAAGAACCAGTGACATCTACATCTGCAGAACGTAAAGAACCAGTGGCATCTACATCTGCAGAACGTGAAGAACCAGTGGCATCTACATCTGCAGAACGTGAAGGACCAGTGGCATCTATATCTGCAGAACGTGAAGAACCAGTGGCATCTACATCTGCAGAACGTGAAGAACCAGTGGCATCTACATCTACAGAACATGAAGAACCAGTGGCATCTACATCTGCAGAACGTGAAGAACTAGTGACATCTACATCTGCAGAACGTGAAGAACCAGTGGCATCTACATTTGCAGAACGTGAAGAACCAGTGGCATCTACATCTGCAGAACGTGAAGAACCAGTGGCATCTACATCTGCAGAACGTGAAGAACCAGTGGCATCTACATCTGCAGAACGATGAAGAACCAGTGGCATATACATCTGCAGAACGTGAAGAACCAGTGGCATCTACATCTGCAGAACGTGAAGAACCAGTGGCATCTACATCTGCAGAACGTGAAGAACCAGTGGCATCTACATCTGCAGAACGTGAAGAACCAGTGGCATCTACATCTGCAGAACGTGAAGAACCAGTGGCATATACATCTGCAGAACGTGAAGAACCAGTGGCATCTACATCTGCAGAACGTGAAGAACCAGTGGCATCTACATCTGCAGAACGTGAAGAACCAGTGACATCTACATCTGCAGAACGTGAAGAACCAGTGGCATCTACATCTGCAGAACGTGAAGAACCAGTGGCATCTACATCTGCAGAACGTGAAGAACCAGTGGCATCTACATCTGCAGAACGTGAAGAACCAGTGGCATCTACATCTGCAGAACGTGAAGAACCAGTGGCATCTACATCTGCAGAACGTGAAGAACCAGTGGCATCTACATCTGCAGAACGTGAAGAACCAGTGGCATCTACATCTGCAGAACGTGAAGAACCAGTGGCATCTACATCTGCAGAACGTGAAGAACCAGTGGCATCTTACATCTGCAGAACAGTGAAGAACCAGTGGCATCTACATCTGCAGAACGTGAAGAACCAGTGGCATCTACATTTGCAGAACGTGAAGAACCAGTGGCATCTACATCTGCAGAACGTGAAGAACCAGTGGCATATACATCTGCAGAACAGTGAAGAACCAGTGGCATCTACATCTGCAGAACGTGAAGAACCAGTGGCATCTACATCTGAAGAGCGTGAAGAACCAGTGGCATCTACATCTGCAGAACATGAAGAACCAGTGGCATCTACATCTGCAGAACATGAAGAACCAGTGGCATCTACATCTGCAGAACATGAAGAACCAGTGGCATCTACATCTGCAGAACATGAAGAACCAGTGGCATCTACATCTGCAGAACATGAAGAACCAGTGGCATCTACATCTGCAGAACATGAAGAACCAGTGGCATCTACATCTGCAGAACATGAAGAACCAGTGGCATCTACATCTGCAGAACATGAAGAACCAGTGGCATCTACATCTGCAGAACATGAAGAACCAGTGGCATCTACATCTGCAGAACATGAAGAACCAGTGGCATCTACATCTGCAGAACATGAAGAACCAGTGACATCTACATCTACAGCATATGAAGAACCAGTGGCATCTACATCTGCAGAACATGAAGAACCAGTGGCATCTACATCTGCAGAACATGAAGAACCAGTGGCATCTACATCTGCAGAACATGAAGACCAGTGGCATCTACATCTGCAGAACATGAAGAACCAGTGGCATCTACATGTGCAGAACATGAAGAACCAGTGGCATCTACATCTGCAGAACATGAAGAACCAGTGGCATCTACATCTGCAGAACATGAAGAACCAGTGGCATCTACATCTGCAGAACATGAAGAACCAGTGGCATCTACATCTGCAGAACATGAAGAACCAGTGGCATCTACATCTGCAGAACATGAAGAACCAGTGGCATCTACATCTGCAGAACGATGAAGAACCAGTGGCATCTACATCTGCAGAATATGAAGAACCAGTGGCATCTACATCTGCAGAACATGAAGAACCAGTGGCATCTACATCTGCAGAGCATGAAGAACCAGTGGCATCTACATCTGCAGAACATGAAGAACCAGTGGCATCTACATCTGCAGAACATGAAGACCAGTGGCATCTACATCTGCAGAACATGAAGAACCAGTGGCATCTACATCTGCAGAACATGAAGAACCAGTGGCATCTACATCTGCAGAACATGAAGAACCAGTGGCATCTACATCTGCAGAACATGAAGAACCAGTGGCATCTACATCTGCAGAACATGAAGAACCAGTGGCATCTACATCTGCAGAACATGAAGAACCAGTGGCATCTACATCTGCAGAACATGAAGAACCAGTGGCATCTACATCTGCAGAACAGTGAAGAACCAGTGGCATCTACATCTGCAGAACATGAAGAACCAGTGGCATCTACATCTGCAGAACATGAAGAACCAGTGGCATCTACATCTGCAGAACATGAAGAACCAGTGGCATCTACATCTGCAGAACATGAAGAACCAGTGGCATCTACATCTGCAGAACATGAAGAACCAGTGGCATCTACATCTGCAGAACATGAAGAACCAGTGGCATCTACATCTGCAGAACATGAAGAACCAGTGGCATCTACATCTGCAGAACAGTGAAGAACCAGTGGCATCTACATCTGCAGAACAGTGAAGAACCAGTGGCATCTACATCTGCAGAACGTAAAGAACCAGTGGCATCTAAATCTGCACAACGTGAAGAACCAGTGGCATCTACATCTGCAGAACGTGAAGAACCAGTGGCATCTACATCTGCAGAACATGAAGAACCAGTGGCATCTACATCTGCAGAACGTGAAGAACCAGTGGCATCTACATCTGCAGAACGTGAAGTACCAGTGCGCTAACTGCTACCTCGCCACTCCCCCCTTACTCCTTCAATACCAACATCCGACATTCGCCACTAAGTGATGGTGATGTCATCAATGTGCCTATGCCAGGCTAGGTGCACTTCGAAGCCACGTGAAGTGTCGAAGGCTCTCCGCTGGCAGGTCATGCGACAGACCCAGGTGGTGCCATGGGTTGAGTGACTGAGATGACGCCTGGCGGATGTGATACCTGATGTACCCCCCCCCCCCCGTGTCTCACCCCCCCCCCCCCACACACACACAGAGCCACCATGAATCCCGGCCACCACCACCGCACGCCACGTCTGCTGCTGCTTCTCCTCCTGCTGCTTGTGGTGCTCCTCCCGTCTCTACTGTGCGGGGCTCAGCGGACCCCTCGCCCGCGGACCGGTCCCGCCAAGAAGGCCCAGCAGCAGCAGCAGAAACAACAGCAGCAGAAGCAGCAGCAGGAGAAGCAGCAGAAGCAGCAGAAGCAGCAGCAGCAAGCAGAGGAGGAGGAGGAGGACTTGGGAGCGGGCCCTCTGCTCTACTTCGGGCCGCAATTCTACTCGGACTGCCCCCGCGAGTGTTTCTGCTCGCCAGACTTCTCGACGGCGCTGAACTGCGAGAGCCGGAGGCTGAGCGCCGTGCCCAGCCTCCCGAACCGCACGCAGCACCTCTACCTGCAGCACAACCGCATCTCGGCGATACCCCTCGAGCCTTTCCAGAACGCCAGTGAGCTGAGGTGGCTCAACCTGAACCGCAACAAGATCGCCAGCAACAAGGTGGCCAAGAACGTCTTCTCCAAGATGAAGCACCTGCTGCACCTCTACATGGAACACAACGACCTGAAGGAACTGCCCTTCCCGCTCCCCAGCAGCCTGCAGCAGCTCAAGCTGGCGCACAACCGCATCGCGCGGCTGCCCAGTGCCGCCTTCAACAAGCTCACGAACCTCCTGCTCCTCGACCTGAGCTCCAACCAGATCGAGGATGGCGCCCTCTCGGGCGAGATCTTCCACGGCCTGAAGGGTCTCATCCAGCTGAACCTCTACAAGAACAAGATCACCAAGATGCCACCGCAGCTGCCCCGGGGACTCTACCAGCTCTTCCTGGAAAGGAACTCCATCGCCGAGATCCCCGAGAGCTACTTCGACAAACTCGATCACATCTTCTCCATCCGCCTGACCTTTAACAAGCTCACCGACTCGGGCCTGCCCAGGAGCATCTTCAACATCTCCACGCTGCTCGAGCTCTCGCTGGGACACAACGGGCTGACGCGCGTGCCCCTCTTCACCCCGCGCCTCGAGCACCTCCACCTCGACCACAACCACATCAAAGGTGCGCTGGGCAGGTGGTGGATGACAGAGATGGAAGGTGGTGGTCGTGGATTAAGGATGTGCAGGCGAAGGCGGTGAATGAGCAGGTGGCGATGGTATTGAAATTGATGGTTGATAAAACATTTTAAGGGTTGGTGGTTAAGATAGTAGTGGTGGTGGTGGATGAGTAGATTTGGAGAGACAGTGCAGTGGTTAGCACACTGCACTTTAAACCCGGCGACCCGAGTTCGATTCCTGCTCACGACTAACATCGGTGATGAATATCTGTATCGGTCCTGGGCCTCCCCTAGGTAGACTCAGCCTCAAACGAGTACCTGGTGCGGTAAATATCGCCACTGGGGAGACAAAGGCGGCCGGGCGTAGTGATTGCCACCCACCCCCTCGTGTGCCATTCCGGTCTCTATAGGTGTTCACAAACAGCACTTGCCCCAACAATCTGTTAAGGCTATACGGGGGGATCTTTGTCTTTGCAGGTAGTGATGGTGGTGGTAATGGTGCAGGTGGTGGTTGTGAATTTGGGTTGTGAAGAGGAAGGTGGTGACTGAGGAGGTGCGGATGGTATTGAAATATGAAGATTGTGGATAAGATAGTGGTAATGGGGATGGAGAAGCAGATGGTGGTGGTAGTGGTGATGGTGCAGCATTGTCCGGCAAAACAACCCCCGGCAAAACAACCCCCTACCTCCTCGCGGTGCCGGACGGGCAACTCTGTCATGGACAGTGCTGTGGGGGGAGGGCCAATTCCGATTGGCTCCTCCCTTCATGGCGTCTGTGTCCACCACAGTGGCTAAATGGGGGCTCTGGACGGGTGCGAGGGGCTGGTAACCCCTCCACCTTTAATTAATTACCACTAAACTACGAATACAAAATTTAACTAATAAGCTTGTGCTGGAGGTCCCGGGGGGACAGGCGTCTATGACGTCTCCTGGCCAAACCCCAATTGGCGGAGCCAGGAGATTGAATCTCTACCCTCGGGGCTCCTCCAGAAACAACGATAAGCCACTACGGATGGCCACGTGGAATGTTCGAATGCTCACTGCGGAGGAGAGGCTGCCACTCCTCTATCGGGAGCTGGACCGGTACCGCCTGGATCTCTGTGGCATTTAGGAGGTCTGGTGGACCGGTTCTGGCTCCTGCCACCATGAGGGGTGGACAGTCCTCTACTCAGGGCAGCAGACTGCCAAACAACAGGGTGTGGCTCTTCTTTTGAACAAAAGAATGAAGGGGGCGTGGGAGCGTGGCGGTGAGGTGTGGGAAGCTGTAAGCCCCAGGCTACTTTGGGCTCGCCTTCCCATCAACCGGAGGCGAGGAGTGGTGGTCGTGGTTACTTATGCCCCCAATGAAGACGAACATCCGTGGAGGGATGCAGGCAAAGCCGATGAGTCAGATGCCTTCTATGACCTCCTGTCACAGGTGCTGGCTAAAGTGGCCCCTCGGGATAGAGTCATCTTGTTGGGTGACTTCAATGCCCGAGTTGGTCATGATGCTGGCACCTGGTCTGGAGTGATTGGAGGGCATGGGCGAGATCAGCTCAATAACAACGGTAGGAGGCTGCTAGATTTTTGTGCAGCCCATGGGCTTGTAATTACCAACACACTGTTCCGGCATCGGTGCATCCACACAACATCATGGATGCATGCCGGGTCCAAGCAAGCACATCTGCTGGACTACATAGTGATGGACCAGCGGATGCGAGCCCATGTCCTTGACACCAGGACCTACCGTGGAGCTGATCTGCCCACTGACCATCGACTAGTCATCTGTAAGATGCGCCTGCCATTCTTCCACTCCGGTGGTGGGTGTACACCCAGGACCCCATTCCAACCTAAAGTGGCCTGGTCTCAGTTATGTAATGAAAGTTGCAAGCGAGAATTTCATCATCGCTTGCGGCTGGGGTTGGCATCGTCCCCCACTCCTCCTGATGTCGAGGGTAAATGGGCGAGGTTTAGGACTGTGACTCATGCAGCTGCAATGGCTGTTTTGGGTATGCGGTCCAGACCTCCCCAGAGACCCTGGCTGACAGAGCAGGTGTTCAGGATGGTTGAGAAAAAGCGACAGGCCCACTGTCATCGGCTACAGAATCCCACGTCAGAGAATGAGGAGGCTTACCGCAGCCTTCGCTCGGAGGTTCGGAGAGCCGTGAGGCGCTGCAAGGATGGGTGGTGGTCACGGGTTGCTGAGGAGATGGAGACTGCCTCAGTGGCCCGTGATCACAAATCTCTATTTAACTCCATCAAAAAAGTAACCTGCAGCGCCAGACCTATTACCATCATTAGGGGAAAAAACGGTGATCCAATCTCCGAACCCCAGGAACAGGTTTGCAGATTTGCTGAGCATTTCTGTGATGTCCTGGGGGAGAGGAAATCCCTCAGCCAGGAAAACATCGTGGCACAAAGTGGGGATGACCCTGCTGTAGCTGCGGAGCCTCAAATATTGGAAGAAGTCACCCCCTGTGAGTGGCTGGCTGAGGTGCCATCTGTTGAGGAAGTACTGAAAGCGATCCGGAGTCTGAGACCAGGGAAGGCACCGGGTAGAGACGATCTCCCAAGCGAAATGCTGAGGGAGGGTGGCGTTTGTGCACAGACTGCCCTATATGACATCATAACAACACTCTGGACCACTGGACGGGTTCCGCAGGATTGGAAGGATGCCCTTGTGGTCCCCCTCTTTAAGAAGGGGGACCGCACAGACTGTAACAACTACAGGGGCATCTCACTCCTCAGTGTGCCGGGAAAGGTCCTGGCAAGGATTATTCAACATCGCCTTGCCAGGCACACTGAGGAGTGGCTTGCGGAGCCCCATTGCGGTTTCAGGAAAGGGCGGTCCTGCACAGATGCCATATTTTCTGTCCGTCTGCTACAGCAGAGGTGTAGGGAATTCCAACAAGACGCACATCTCTGCTTTATTGACCTGGTCAAGGCTTATGATACCATCAGTTGGCCTGGGCTCTGGGTTGTTCTTCGTGCTTTTGGAGTCCCGCACCCTCTGCTCACAATCATTAAGGACCTTCATGATGGTGAGCGGGCCCGGGTAAAACTACGTGGCCGGGAGTCAGAGCCATTCTCTGTACACCTTGGGGTGCGACAGGGATGTCCTCTGGCTCCCACATTATTTAACATCTATTTTCACCACGTAGTTCGTGAAGCCTTCAATAGCTGTACCGGGGGAATCTCCATATGGTACAGATATAATGGGAGGCTGATCGATGCCCGGGTGTGGTCAAGGGATGGCTCCCTATTGCTCAACCACGTTATGTATGCCGATGATTTGGTAATAGCTGCTCATTCAGAGGAGGAGTTGGAGACGCTGCTGCTGGGACTGGAGCGTGCCACTAAGAGATGGGGCTTCACCATCAGCCCCACGAAAACTAAGCACCTGCCTGGGTATTTTGTACCATCGGACACTCCACCTCCACAACTCCCAATCGGTGATGGGGCAGTGGTGGAGAGTTTCCCATACCTGGGCAGTGTGCTTATGACCGGCTCCAGTTTAACAGCAGAGGTCTCACTCCGAATCAGTCGAGCGGCAATATCTTTTCATCGGTTGCGTAACGCTGTGTGGAAGCTACCTGGTCTGTCGCTCCGCACTAAGCTTCAGGTCTTCTCGGCCACGGTCATTCCTTCCCTTCTCTACGCTTGCGAAACGTGGACCTCCCTAATGGAACATCTTCGCCAGTTAGAAACATTTAGGCTAGCCTGCCTACGATCCATCCTGGGTTTAACCAGGCTGGATTGTGTGAGCTCACAAATTCTTGAAAAATCTGGGCAAGGTCCCATCGGTGAGCTCCTCCGGCAGGCAAGGCTGCGTTGGCTGGGTCATGTAGCCCGTATGCCCAGCCACCGCATGCCGAAACAGCTTTTGTTCGGCCGGATCGAGGGGGCTAAATGGGCGCGGCACGGGCTAGAGAAGAGATGGAGTGATGTGGTACAGGAGGACGTGGAGCTGAGTGGACTTGCCGATGACTGGTACCAGTGGTGTCAAGATCGGCCTCTGTGGAGGAGGCTCGTGAAGGACGCTATTGGGTAGTTGGAGGCAGTCGCCCTCCAACAACAACGGAGGGCGGAGGAGCGACGCTCACAACAACGAGCAGAGCGCCGGGTGGCTAAAGCACAGCAGGTTGGCACAGTAGGGGGCACAGGTGGTGCACCAGCCAGTCATCTCAGTCAGTCGACCCGTGGCACCTGGGTCTGCCCCGTGACCTCCTGCCCGCGGGCGTTCGACACTTCACGTGGCCTCAAGGTGCACATGGCCTGGCACAAGCGTCGTGGTGACGTCACCGCCACTTAGTGGCGAATGGCGGTTGTTGTTGTTGGTGCAGCATTAACACATGGTGGAATTGGTGGATGCGCATGTGGTGATGGTCATGATGGAGGTGGTGGTCGAAGATATGGTGTTAATGTTGGATACGATGATGTGAATGGTGGTGTGGTGTGGAGCAGCCCATGCTGTGGTGTGACCCATGCTTTGGTGTGGCGTGACCTGTGGTGTACACTTGGACCTGAGGAGCGATGGCGCGGTGGTCGCCGCGTTCGATTACCCGCCCACGGCCAACATCCATCTGTGACGATAAATCCCGAATCGTCAAAACTCGTCCCTGACATGAGTAGTGCTTTATGCGGTGCGTAAACAATCAGCACTGGGGCGGGGGAGACAAAGGCGACCGGGCGTGGTGGCGGTCCCGGCCTCGATCGGTGCTGCTCGACAACCAGAGCCGTCCCTAGAGCACACGGCGAATCGGGGCGATCACCCTGGGCCCCGCACAGTGGAGGGGGGTGGGGGGGGCTCGCGCTTCGACGTCACGGCGTCAAGAGCAAAAAGTTCTGGCTTAGTTTGAAGCTGTTTGGTGGCTTCTGGCACGCGGTGCGATGTTCCTGCACCCCTGGATATGGGGCGGCCCCTGTCACCCATAGCCCCTCGCCCCCTCCGTCCTATTGGGAGGCTACCGGTCCGGGTGGGGTGGACTATTGGGTTCCGTGTTTGTGTTCCGTGTTTGTGGTTTATTTTAACAGATAGGAGGCTTTCGCGACCAATATCATCCATAAGAGGTTTTTTAGGTTAGATCGCGTAAATATATAAATGTCTTCAAAACCCGCCACCACCCGACACAGCCAACTAGTAAGGGTTGTCACGTAAATAGAACGTGCCAATTCCTCACTAGTACAGCACACCGGTGTGTTGGAGAGCCAAGCCACAACATTTACAATCTGAGTACGACGTTTCGCCAGTAATTACAACCAGCTTATATAGAGGCGTAGAGGTGGTAACCAAACTTCTGCGCTCTTGCGAAAAGTGGGGGGGGGGGAGGCGATTAATGAGTCAACACACATTATGCATTTGCATTATACGAGCCCTTTGATCTTGTCCTTCCCGTCCATTGTGTATTAAAAAATATGTATGATCGAAACTATCAAAAGAAGGTGTCTACAGGATTAACTGCACGTGTGGTAAATGTTATGTTGGGCAAAAAGGACGAATGATCAGCACAAGACTAAAAAAAACATCAGATAAATATTAAATTATCCTAAATACAACTGTCAGTAATAGCAGAACACGCGTGCCAACAAAGACACTCAATTGATTTTGATGTTGAAGTTCTGTGCAAAACTAGTTACTACTAGCCAAGACTAATTACAGAATCTATCGAAATTGAAATAAATAAAAATAATTTAACCGTTCAGATAGCTACCAACTTAATGCTGCGTGGAAGCGAATCATCAAATAATACATTGTTTAAATGCACGCTTATACAGGCCACCATACTGCAATAGGGATTACCGTTGGTACGGCTATTTTAATGCACACAATGAACAGGAAGGACAAGATAAATGGGCTCGCATAATGCACATGCATCACGTACGTTGACTCAGTAATCGCCCCCCACACTTTTCGCAAGAGCGCAGAAGCGTGGTCACCACATCCACGTCTCTATATAAGGAACGAAACAGTTAGACTTCTCCACAAATATGCCTGTCGCCTGATGAAGCTAGTTGTAATTACTGGCGAAACGTCGTACTCAGATTGCAAATGTTGTGGCTTGGCTCTCCAACACACCGGTGTGCTGTACTAGTGACAAATTGGCAACGTTCTGTTTACGTGACAACCTTTACTAATTAGCTGTGTCGGGTGGTGGCGGGATTTAACGACACATTTAGATATTTACGCGATCTAACCCAAAAAAGCCCTCTATTATGGATTTGTGGTTGGTGTTTGTGGTGGTTGGGTGTTTGTGGTCTGTATTTGTGCAGGTTGGGTGTTTGTTGTCTGTATTTGTGGTGGTTGGGTGTTTGTGGTCTGTATTTGTTGTGGTTGGGTGTTTGTGGTGGTTGAGTGTTTGTGGTCTGTATTTGTGGAGGTTGGGTGTTTGTGGTCTGTATTTGTGGTGGTTGAGTGTTTGTGGTCTGTATTTGTGGAGGTTGGGTGTTTGTGGTCTGTATTTGTTGTGGTTGATGTTTGTGGTGGTTGGGTGTTTGTGGTCTGTATTTGTCGTGGTTGGGTGTTTGTGGTCTGTATTTGTTGTGGTTGGGTGTTTGTGGTGGTTGAGTGTTTGTTGTCTGTATTTGTCGTGGTTGGGTGTTTGTGGTCTGTATTTGTGGTGGTTGGGTGTTTGTGGTGGTTGAGTGTTTGTGGTCTGTATTTGTGGTGGTTGGGTGTTTGTGGTCTGTATTTGTTGTGGTTGATGTTTGTGGTGGTTGGGTGTTTGTGGTCTGCATTTGTGGTGGTTGGGTGTTTGTGGTCTGTATTTGTTGTGGTTGGGTGTTTGTTGTCTGTATTTGTTGTGGTTGGGTGTTTGTGGTGGTTGGGTGTTTGTGGTCTGTATTTGTGGTGGTTGGGTGTTTGTGGTCTGTATTTGTTGTGGTTGGGTGCTTGTTGTCTGTATTTGTTGTGGTTGGGCGTTTGTGGTCTGTATTTGTTGTGGTTGATGTTTGTGGTGGTTGGGTGTTTGTGGTCTGTATTTGTTGTGGTTGGGTGTTTGTTGTCTGTATTTGTTGTGGTTGATGTTTGTGGTGGTTGGGTGTTTGTGGTCTGCATTTGTGGTGGTTGGGTGTTTGTGGTCTGTATTTGTTGTGGTTGGGTGCTTGTTGTCTGTATTTGTTGTGGTTGGGCGTTTGTGGTCTGTATTTGTTGTGGTTGATGTTTGTGGTGGTTGGGTGTTTGTTGTCTGTATTTGTGGTTCGTGTTCGTGGTCTGTTCCCACCGCATGATGTCCACGTGCCATGGCCGCCCGTAGCGTGGAACGTGTCCGAGGTGTGTGACCTTCGCAACCCGGTGCCGGCGGCGGGGCCCGCGCGCCTCCGCTACCTGCGCCTCGACGACAACGAGCTGAGGGCCCTGAGCACGACCGAGATCATCATCTGCTTCCCGCTCCTCCACGCCTTCATGATCTGACGAGGTGACGCTCGAGGTCACCGCCACCATTAATACCGTCATCGTCGTCACGAATCAAGATCCTCATCATCCTCATCATCGTGAACATAATGATGATCACCCATATCATCATCACGAATAAAGATCATCATCATGACCGTCGCAATGATTCTAGCGAGATGACCACCGATATCATCTGCGTCATCTAAAGAGGACAGCTTGTCATGAGGTTATTCATCATCATCATCACCAGGCCACCATCACTCTGAGATAGTGAGTTCGTCACCACCATCACCACGAGGTCGTCGTCTTCTCCTTCTTCATCACCACCACCACCACCAACATCACGGGGATGTACCACACAACTAACGCCTCTCGTTTCTCCTCAATTGGCTCTCCCCCCATCGCCTCCGTATGAGTTGTTCGGGTTACAGAGGGGTAAGAGGTGCACCGCCGCAGCTGCTCGCTCACGCCGCCACTGCCGGCGTGAGTTGCTTTGGCCTACCCCCTTCCATGCAATCCACGTCTCGGCGTGAGACCTCCCCCACCCCCACCGCCCCCCCACAAAAAAAAAAAAATCCCACACCTCCGATTAGCACGGTCGGCTGGATACGGTGTTAAAGAAGTTCAACGTACATAAACACACGTGCGTGCGTGCGTGCCCGCTCTGGGCGAAGTGACGCAGATCTGGTCTCTCACGCACGGCATGGCACGTGGCTCTTGGATGAACTCAACGTATTTTGCGTCTGTGGCCAACACCGTCTGCGCGTGTGGCATTGAGAGAACAAAATGTAGAAATATAATGGGTAACGTTTCAGGCAATGGACCCCCCCCCCGCCCCTTCTTCACAGAGCGTGGGGACAGAGTGGATGAGTTGGAGACTTGTTTACACTACGCGATGGTGGGGGGGGGGGGGGGCAGGGCTGATAACAATCACATTCGAAACGTCTTTACTGACGATGAGCTGTTTGTAAATTGGGCATAGGAAGAGTTAGTACTAGTTAGAGTAATAGTTATAATGATAGCAATAATAGTAATACATAGAGGCATAAAATAGTCATCGTTACAAAAATAGAGTGGCTAATGAGTAGCGAACACCTCGAATAATCAGAAACCTATTAACATCAAATACAGTCATTCATGCTAAAAGTGTATGTGCTATGAAGGGCTGCTGCTCGAAACGTCGTCTATTCTATTTCCCCCTCCCCCCCCCCCATTTAAGACTACGCACGCACGGGGTGTATTCACGAAAGCGATGGTTGTTAAGATTACGATGGTTGAGATACTGGCGATCCAGAGATGGTGATGATATCATGACAATGTTGATAATGGTGGTAGTGTAATACGATGGAGATTTTGTAAATCATGACGGATAATCATGGCGGTCATTATGATTGTAATCATGGCGATCATCATGATTGTAACCATGGCGATCATCATGATTGTAAACATAGCGATCATCATGATTGTAATCATGGCGATCATCATTATTGTAAACATAGTGATCATCATGATTGTAATCATGGCGATCATCATGATTGTAATCATGGCGATCATCATGATTGCAATCATGGCGATCATTATGATTGTAATCATGGCGATCATTATTGTAACCGTGGCGATAATCATGGTTGTAAACATAGCGATCATCATGATTGTAATCATGGCGATCATGATTGAAAGAGTAATCATTGCGATTGTAATCATGGCGATCATGATTGTACCCATGGCGATCATCATTGTAAACATGGCGATCATCATGATTGTAATTATGGCGATCATCATGATTGTAATCATGGCGATCATCATTATTGTAATCATGGCGATCATGATTGTAACCGTGGCAATCAACATTATTGTAAACAGCGATCATCATGATTGTAAGCATGGCGATCATCGTGATCGTAAACATAGTGATAATCATGATTGTAATCATGGCGATCATCACGATTGTAATCATGGTGATCATGATTGTGATCGTGGCGATCATGATTGTAATCATGGCGATCATGATTGTAACCGTGGCGATCATGGTTGTAATAATGGCGATCATCATGATTGCAAACGTGGCCGATGTGTTATAATGGGCCACTGCCAGAAACGTTGCCCATGATATATTTCCCCTCCTGAAGCCCCCCACACACACACGGTGGTGGTGGTGGTGGCGGAACGCGTCGAGTCGTTGTTGGCTGTCCTCGTGCACCACGGCCAATAGACATCGTCGGGATAATCACAGCGTCAACATCATCATCACAGTCATCATCATCATTACCGTAATCACCACCACCATCATCATCTCTCTGTCTCACCTGTCCCTGTGTCGAATCCAAATTTCAATGTCACCAGAATCATCCTCATCCTCGATGCTCCCCCCACCGCCATGGCAACCACTCCACCCTTCGTCCGGACCATAACCCAAAACCACTGCTCGTTACGCACGCCCACGCTCCCGTGCTACCACCTCTCCGTGGAATTTATTTTAACTTTTTTTTTAATGTGTGTAACGGCTTTCCTACGCACGCGTGGCGACGACGTTTACACACCACGCGGGTGAGGATAGCTCTCCTCTATCTCTGTATCTATCTCTCTATCCCTCCCTGTCTATCTCTCTCTCGCATAACCTCCCCCCCCCCAGGCCCGCCGCATGAGCGTGCGAGGCGTCGTCTTCGTCGGCACGCTAGTTTATCTCGATGCTATGGGTGCTTGATTATTTGTTTACTAAGTTTTAGCGCAGGGGTGGGGGAAGCCAAAACACGGCCAGCTACTCCGTGACCTCACTTCACACGACCTGTGACCTTACTTCACACGACCCATGACCTCACTTCACACGACCCGTGACCTTACTTCACACGACCCATGACCTCACTTCACACGACCTGCGACTTAACTTCACATGACACGTGACCTCACCTCACACGACCCGTGACTTCACTTCACACGACACGTGACCTCACTTCACACGACCCGTGACCTCACTTCACACGACACGTGACTTCACCTCACACGACCCGTGACCTCACTTCACACGACACGTGAACTCACTTCACACGACCCGTGACCTCACTTCACACGACCCGTGACCTCACTTCACACGACCCGTGACCTCACTTCACACGACCCGTGACCTCACTTCACACGACCCGTGACCTCACTTCACACGACCCGTGACCTCACTTCACACGACCCGTGACCTCACTTCACACGTGACCTCACTTCACACGACACGTGACCTCACTTCACACGACCCCTGACTTCCACATGTTCCACAGCCGCTGTAGGGCCCACCACTTTGATATTTATCCATCGCCGCAAGTCGCAACTTTTCCGCACTCACCGGGATCGAGAGGGGAAATAATTTCCACCTCAAAACGTCGCCGTTTCTGATTCCGGTGCCGTGCCCGGCCACGTCGCCCATCACTGCAAGGGGCCTCCTCCTCTTCACACGCTTCACCTTGTGACCGTCTGGCCAACGGGCAAGAGGCACGGAGGCCGGGCGACACTTGAGCCGTGGCCAAACGTCCCGCTGGTGCAACCACGTGGACATAGCGGTTTGCAGGAAAGGGCCCCGCCGCCCTCCCCTCAACCCCCACTCCTGGTTTAGGTGAAGAGCTGTCGCCGCGTCGGTTTGGGCACGCCCAGGCCACTCTCTCGTATGGTGCTTTACAAAATAAAACGTATCGGAAATCAACGACCCCGCGCTGTCCTTTGCACGCGAGCGACGTCACGTGCCCAACGTTTTGGTCACGTCGCCGGGGGCCTGGCAATTGACGACGACGACCGTCGACCCCTCGTGCGGAGCAGAGGTGCTGCATCAGGCGTCGTGGGAACGCGGCGGGCCTGAGCCCTCAGAGTGAGAGTCGCCTCCTGCTCCCCCAAGTTAGCGTCGTGAGGCACCGGTGCTCATCCTATGTCTTCTCGCCTCGTTAGAGCCGATAGTGAAATTCCACCTTCCTATGGTGGGGATAAATAACTCCAAAGGACATCCACTGTTGATCTTCCCCACCAAAGTATAGGGGGGGGGATGATGGGCAGAGTCAACACTCCCCTCCCCACCCCGTGCAAGCTGTGTGGGGGGTCTTTTGTGCGAGCGTGCGTCAGCGCCCTGAGCCACCAAGTCATTTGATTTCTGGCCAACATCAGTGGCACGGAGGTCGTCATCTTCTTCGCCGCACAAGAGTACCTGGGCACGATGCGAAAACATCAGCACGCGGAAAGCCCGAAGGTTTCCGGGCATATTGTGATGGCCACACCACCACCCTTCACAGGTGTGCCGTCCCGGCCTTCACAGGTATGCCGTCCCGGTCTTCACAGGTGTGCCGTCCCGGTCTTCACAGGTGTGCCGTCCCGGTCCTTCACAGGTGTGCGGGTCAGGCCTTCACAGGTGTGCCGGTGTCCAGCCTTCACAGGTGTGCCTGTCCCGGCCTTCACAGGTGTGCATGTCCCGGTCCTGCACAGGTGTGCAGTGTCCCGTCTGCACAGGTGTGCAGGTGTCAGCCTTCACAGGTGTGCGGTCCCGGCCTGCACAGGTGTGCCGTCCCGGCCTGCACAGGTGTGCCGTCCCGGCCTGCACAGGTGTGCCGTCCTGGTCTTCACAGGTGTGCCGTCCCGGCCTTCACAGGTGTGCGGTATCAGCTTTCACAGGTGTGCCATCCCGGCCTTCACAGGTGTGCGGTGTCAGCCTTCACAGGTGTGCCGTCCCAGCCTTCACAGGTGTGCGGTGTCAGCCTTCACAGGTGTGCCATCCCAGCCTTCACAGGTGTGCCATCCCGGTCTTCACAGGTGTGCAGTGTCAGCCTTCACAGGTGTGCCGTCCCGGCCTTCACAGGTGTGCCGTCCCGGCCTTCACAGGTGTGCCGTTCCAGCCTTCACAGGTGTGCCGTCCTGGCCTTCACAGGTGTGCGGTGTCAGCCTCCACAGGTGTGCAGTGTCAGCCTTCACAGGTGGGCCATCCCGGCCTTCACAGGTGTGCGGTGTCGGCCTTCACAGGTGTGCCATCCCGGTCTTCAGAGGTGTGCCGTGCCAGCCTTCACAGGTGTGCCGTGCCAGCCTTCACAGGTGTGCGGTGTCGGCCTTCACAGGTGTGCCATGTCGGTCTTCACAGTTGTGCCATTCCGGCCTTCATAGGTGTGCAGTGGCGGCCTTCACAGTTGTGCCATTCCGGCCTTCACAGGTGTGCCGTGCCAGCCTTCACAGGTGTGCGGTGTCGGCCTTCACAGGTGTGCAGTGGCGGCCTTCACAGTTGTGCCATTCTGGCCTTCACGTGCTGCTCGCTCCAACAAGCCCATTCAAGGCTACAGAGGGGCGGGGGGATCTTTGTCTTGTTTGGGCTCGATGGTATCTTGTTAATGAGGTGCACTAGAACAAGGGAGCTTTGTACAACCCGGTCGGAGCTATATCGAAGGTGAACAATGCCCACCAATTCACCTGCAGCCTCCCCCATGCCCTCTTTGCCGCATGCATGGCTGGAAAAGGCATTCACCAAACCCCCATTGACCAGCATGGGTGAGGCACGGTCAAACAACCCAAATGATTGACATGCCTTGAGGAGGCCTTCATCCAATAATTGCCACATGGCTGAACGGAGTAGCAATTGAATGTGACAGATGACACGGTCCGACTGTGTTTCTGGCTATTATGAGATAAAGAAAAAAATCGTGAAAATGCATTCACCTTGGGAAGCGGCCTTAAGGCCATTTTTCAGGAGAATGCTGCTGCTGCTGCCACATTGCGTTGTTTGGCCATGGATTCCCCGAGCGGTGAGGGTTTGGCTTTGCGTGCGGAGGAAGCCCAGAGGACATGGAAAAAAAACCCCACCACGCGCACGAAAAACTCCGCACACACGGATTCAAGAATCTGCCGCATCTCCTGCTCACCTCGTAGTCAGTCCCAACACCCCACAACCATGCACACTGCTGCGCCAAGCAGCAGGGAAACATCATCCCGGATGCATGCACGCGTGCAGCCCGATCGTCACGGGTGAAGTTGTCCATACGGAGCAGGGCTGCGTGTGAAACCCACAGCGCTGTATTTATTATTACTTTTGTTGCTATTACTACAATACCATCGCAATTATTTAAATACATAGGCAGCTGAAACACAGCAAGCACAAATTGCCACCCCTTCACCCCCCCCCGAAGTCACATATATATACACGTCCACAGCCCTGTCCCACTGGCACATCCGGGCCACGCTGGGGTGGGGTGATGATGTGCTGCTGCTGCTGGACTCACGAGGTGTCCCAATCGGACTCGGGGCCAAGCAGGGCCAGGGGCAGGGAAAATGACCGGTTCACGCGTATGTGACGTCGGTCGGTACGCAGGTGGGGTTCACACAGCATCACCGCGTCACTCCACCCGCGTTTCCGCTCGTTCACCGCACGCGCGTGACGTCAGTCGGCCCGGCTCGGCTTCCACAGTGGAAAAACAAACCAACGTGGCGCCCCCCGACGCGGCCCGGCTTGCCGTCTCCCCGAGGCCGTCTCCCCGAGGCCGTCACCCCGAGGCCATCTCCCCGAGGCCGTCTCCCCGAGGCCATCTCCCCGAGGCCATCTCCCCGAGGCCATCTCCCCGAGGCCATCTCCCCCGCCCCGCGGGGCATCGCGCGCTGCGACGGTCCTCGGGAGGGGGGCCCCGCAGTGGGACTAATAAATAACATTGCACATCTCGGCTGAAACGCGGGCGAGGCCGAGGCCCGTCCTTTGCGCGCCCACCAACGAGCGGTTCGAATCGTGGCGAGCGTCATCTGGAGGTAACCAATGTCACTCCGCCTCCTTCACACTTGCGTCCCTGTTTTGTTTATCCCATCCCAATCAGCCAAACGGCCTTCTCTGGACCAGTTTCGACATTAAGGGGGGGTTCTCTGAGACACCGAAACCGGTCGAGAGTTTTTCTCTTGTTGAACCAATGCTGCTGAAATTATGGACTCACCGACAGCAGAACATACAGTTCAGAACGCGCGGGCCAGAACACACAGTACAGAACGCACAGTACAGACCGTGCAGTACAGAAAACAGTACAGAATGTGAAGTACAGAACACACAGTACAGAATGTGCGGTACAGAACACACAGTACAGAATGTGAAGTACAGAACACACAGTACAGAATGTGTTGTACAGAACACACAGTACAGAATGTGCGGTACAGAACACACAGTACAGAATGTGAAGTACAGAACACACAGTACAGAATGTGTTGTACAGAACACACAGTACAGAATGTGCGGTACAGAACACACAGTACAGAATGTGCAGTACAGAACACTCAGTACAGAATGTGTTGTACAGAACACACAGTACAGACCGTGCAGTACAGAACACAGTACAAAACACACAGTACAGAATGTGTTGTACAGAACACACAGTACAGAATGTGTTGTACAGAACACACAGTGCAGAATGTGCAGTACAGAATACACAAACTGAAATTGAGGTACAGAACACACAGTACAGAATGTGCGGTACAGAACACACAGTACAGACCGTGCAGTACAGAACACACAGTACAGAATGTGAAGTACAGAACACACAGTACAGAATGTGCGGTACAGAACACACAGTACAGAATGTGAAGTACAGAACACACAGTACAGAATGTGCTGTACAGAACACACAGTACAGAATGTGCGGTACAGAACACACAGTACAGAATGTGAAGTACAGAACACACAGTACAGAATGTGTTGTACAGAACACACAGTACAGAATGTGCGGTACAGAACACACAGTACAGAATGTGCAGTACAGAACACTCAGTACAGAATGTGTTGTACAGAACACACAGTACAGACCGTGCAGTACAGAACACAGTACAAAACACACAGTACAGAATGTGCAGTACAGAACACACAGTACAGAATGTGCGGTACAAAACACACAGTACAGACCGTGCAGTACAGAACACACAGTACAGAACACACAGTACAGAACACACAGTACAGAACACACAGTACAGAACGTGTTGTACAGAGTACACAGTACAGAACACACAGTACATAACGTGCGGTACAGAACACACAGTACAGACCGTGCGGTACAGAACACAGTACAGACCGTGCGGTACAGAACACACAGTACAGAATGTGAAGTACAGAACACACAGTACAGAATGTGAAGTACAGAACACACAGTACAGAATGTGCGGTACAGAACACACAGTACAGAATGTGCAGTCCAGAACACACAGTACAGGCCGTGCGGTACAGAACACACAGTACAGAATGTGTTGTACAGAACACAGTACAGAATGTGCAGTACATAACACACAGTACAGAATGTGCAGTAGAGAACACACAGTACAGAATGTGTTGTACAGAGCACACAGTACAGAATGTGTTGTACAGAACACACAGTACAGAATGTGTTGTACAGAACACACAGTGCAGAATGTGCAGTACAGAATACACAAACTGAAATTGAGGTACAGAACACACAGTACAGAATGTGCGGTACAGAACACACAGTACAGACCGTGCAGTACAGAACACACAGTACAGAATGTGAAGTACAGAACACACAGTACAGAATGTGCGGTACAGAACACACAGTACAGAATGTGAAGTACAGAACACACAGTACAGAATGTGTTGTACAGAACACACAGTACAGAATGTGCGGTACAGAACACACAGTACAGAATGTGAAGTACAGAACACACAGTACAGAATGTGTTGTACAGAACACACAGTACAGAATGTGCGGTACAGAACACACAGTACAGAATGTGCAGTACAGAACACTCAGTACAGAATGTGTTGTACAGAACACAGTACAGAACACACAGTACAGAATGTGCAGTACAGAACACACAGTACAGAATGTGCGGTACAAAACACACAGTACAGACCGTGCAGTACAGAACACACAGTACAGAACACACAGTACAGAACACAGTACAGAACGTGTTGTACAGAGTACACAGTACAGAACACACAGTACATAACGTGCGGTACAGAACACACAGTACAGACCGTGCGGTACAGAACACAGTACAGACCGTGCGGTACAGAACACACAGTACAGAATGTGAAGTACAGAACACACAGTACAGAATGTGAAGTACAGAACACACAGTACAGAATGTGCGGTACAGAACACACAGTACAGAATGTGCAGTCCAGAACACACAGTACAGGCCGTGCGGTACAGAACACACAGTACAGAATGTGTTGTACAGAACACAGTACAGAATGTGCAGTACATAACACACAGTACAGAATGTGCAGTAGAGAACACACAGTACAGAATGTGTTGTACAGAGCACACAGTACAGAATGTGTTGTACAGAACACACAGTACAGAATGTGTTGTACAGAACACACAGTGCAGAATGTGCAGTACAGAATACACAAACTGAAATTGAGGTACAGAACACACAGTACAGAATGTGCGGTACAGAACACACAGTACAGACCGTGCAGTACAGAACACACAGCACAGAATGTGCAGTACAGAACACACAGTACAGAATGTGTTGTACAGAACACACAGTACAGAATGTGCAGTACAGAACACACAGTACAGAATGTGTTGTACAGAACACACAGTACAGACCGTGCAGTACAGAACACACAGTATAGAATGCGTTGGACAGAACACACAGTACAGAATGTGCAGTACAGAACACACAGTACAGAATGTGTTGTATAGAACACACAGTACATAATGTGCGGTACAGAACACACAGTACAGATCGTGCAGTACAGAACACAGTACAGACCGTGCAGTACAGAACACAGTACAGAATGTGCGGTACAGAACACACAGTACAGAATGCGTTGGACAGAACACACAGTACAGAATGTGCAGTACAGAACACACAGTACAGAATGTGCGGTACAGAACACACAGTACAGACCGTGCAGTACAGAACACACAGCACAGAATGTGCAGTACAGAACACACAGTACAGAATGTGTTGTACAGAACACACAGTACAGAATGTGCAGTACAGAACACACAGTACAGAATGTGTTGTACAGAACACACAGTACAGACCGTGCAGTACAGAACACACAGTATAGAATGCGTTGGACAGAACACACAGTACAGAATGTGCAGTACAGAACACACAGTACAGAATGTGTTGTATAGAACACACAGTACATAATGTGCGGTACAGAACACACAGTACAGATCGTGCAGTACAGAACACAGTACAGACCGTGCAGTACAGAACACAGTACAGAATGTGCGGTACAGAACACACAGTACAGAATGCGTTGGACAGAACACACAGTACAGAATGTGCAGTACAGAACACACAGTACAGAATGCGTTGGACAGAACACACAATACAGAATGTGCAGTACAGAACACACAGTACAGAATGTGTTGTACAGAACACAGAGTACAGAATGTGCAGTACAGAACACACAGTACAGAATGTGTTGTACAGAACACACAGTACAGAATGTGTTGTACAGAACACACAGTACAGAATGCGTTGTACAGAACACACAGTACAGAATGTGTTGTACAGAACACACTGTACAGACCGTGTGGTACAGAACACACAGTACAGACTGTGCGGTACAGAACACACAGTACAGAATGTGTTGCACAGAACACACAGTACAGAATGTGTTGCACAGAACACACAGTACAGACTGTGCGGTACAGAACACACAGTACAGAACGTGTTGTACAGAACACAAAGTGCAAAATGTGCAGTACAGAACACAGTACAGAATATGTTGTACAGAACACACAGTACAGAATGTGTTGTACAGAGAATAGAACACACAGTACAGAATGTGCGGTACAGAACACACAGTACAGAACACACAGTACAGAACACACAGTACAGAACGTGTTGTACAGAGTACACAGTACAGAACACACAGTACATAACGTGCGGTACAGAACACACAGTACATAACGTGCAGTACAGAACACACAGGACAAAACGTACTCGCATTGGGAAGAACGGAAAGCAGACCTCACAGTTCAACAAAAGTGGCTAGGGAAGCCACCTCGACTGGCTCAACGGGCCAGACCATGTGCGGGCAGGAAGAACCCCTCGCGTTGCCACAGCGGGGTGAGTTGCCTGCGTCCCGGGTGACCTGAACAGGTGGCAACGACCAACGGACACAAGCAGGCGAAGAGCGGCGCGCGGCATGCGGGGCGAACACACGGCGTGGACAAGGACAGAGTGCGCGCGGGGAGCGACGCTTGCGGGAACCGGAGGCACGGCAGTGGGAGCGATGGAAGAGCGATTGCGATCGAGTGAAAGAATGGTCAGTGAGTGGGCGAGCGAGTAGGTAGGTAAGTGAGCACGAGTGGGTGTGTGAGAGAGAACGCGTGGGTGAGTAGAGTGATGAGGTAAGGGGGTGAGTGAGCGGGTAAGGGGGTGAGTGAGCGGGTGAGAGTGGGTAGATGAGCGAGTGAGTGATTGTGTGAGTTGTTGTGACTTGCAATGTGGTGGTGGTTGAACACAGCACGGTGGTGGTGGCAGTGGTGGTAGATAAACACAGCGCGGTGGTGGTGGTGGTGGTTGAACAAAGTGCGGTGGTAGTTTTTGAACACAGTGTGGTGGCAGTAGTGGTGGAGAGGTGCCCCGATACACTGATGGCATCTCAGAGCGCTTAACATCATCGCATCGCAACACAGGCAGGGTTGGGGGGGTGCTGGATCGCCAAGTGGTCCGGCCTAGGGCGTCTCCCAGTGGCAGCTGCCTCCATGTGCAGCATAAGTGTGCTGCCACTTGGGGCACTGAGTGATCCCAAGGAACGCTGTCCACGGTGGGCACTGCTCACGGCAGTTACTACCCAGGGTGGACACTGCCCACGGTGGACATTGCCCACGGTGGACACTGCTCATGGTGGACAGTGCCAACGGTGGACACTGCCCATGGTGGATACTGACAGAGTGGACACTAACCAGGGTGGACGCCGCCCCTGGTGGACATTGGCAGCAGTTTCCACCGTAGGCAGTACAGAGCGACGAACCAAACGAGCGATCACGCGACCCGCTGGGCCTTTTTCGGACGGGGTGGGGGGGGGGGGGGTCTCTTTCCGCTAGCGCCGCAGGCGTCGCCACCGTCGCCACCGTTACTCTGGCGGCGTCGGGGGCCAGCGGAGGAGGCCGGTGAGGGCCCCGCGTGAGCGCCAGGCCGCGGCCAGCACGGCGGCCAGCACAGCGGTGGCGGCGACGCGGGCGCGCGTGCGCAGCAGCGGCGTCAGGAAGCCGGCGGCCGTGGAGACGAAGACGAGTAGCACGGCGACGAGTGCCAGCAGCACGTTGATGAGCTTGCCCAGCAGCGCCCGTGCGTCGCCCGCGCAACCCTCGAGCCCCTCCAGCTGCACCACCTGCTGCTGCTGTTGCTGCAGCTCCAGCTTGGAGACGCGCGTCTGGCAAGACTCGAGGGCCTCCTGCACGCACGCACGTGCGGGTTGGTGGGTCAGCGGTTCAGTGAGCGAGTGGGCGGCTGGGTCGCTGGTTGGGTGGTGCAGGATGGTAATGCTGCGGTGGCTGTGAAATATGCCATCAGGGGAAGGCAAATTCCATCGGCTGATCCCCTCATGGTGCTTGCAGCAACCACAGCGGCCAATGGGAGCTCTGGAAGGGTGCGAAGGGCTGGTAACACCTCCACCTCCAATTTAATTTATACAAAACCACAATATAAATATCTAATTAAGCTTGTTCCGGAGGCCCTGGGGGGACAGGCAACTATGACATCTCCTGGCCAAACACCATTTGGGGTAGCCAGGTTCTTCCATAAATGTAAAATGTTTAAATGCTCACTACGAAGGAGAGGCTGCCACTCCTCTGTCGGGAGCTGGACCAGTACCACCTGGATCTTTGTGATATTCAGGAGGTCCGGTTGACTAGCCCTGGCTCCAGTCACCATGAGGGGTGGACAGTCCTTGACTCCGGGCAGACTGCCAAACAACAAAGGAATAGAGGAGGAATGGGAGCATGGCAGGGAGGTATGGGAAGCTCTAAGCTCCAGGCTACTCTGGGCTTGTCTCCCCATCAACGCGATGCGAGGAATGGTGGAGGTGTTGGTGGCATTTGCCCCCACCGAAAATTAACATCAGTGGAGGGATGCAGGCAAAGCCGATGAGTCAAATGCCCTCTATGACCTCCTGTCCCAGGTGATAGCTAAAGTGGCCCCTCGGGATAGAGTCATCCTGTAGGGTGATTTTAATGCTTGATTTGGTCATGAAGCTGGCACGTGGACTGGAATGATTGGAAGGCATGGGCCAGATAAGCTCAATAACAACAGTAGGAGGTTGCTACACTTCTGTGGAGCCCATGGGCTTGTAATTACTAACACTCTGTTTTGGCATCGGCGCATCTACACAACATCATGGATGCATGCCGGGTCCAAGCAAGAACATCTGCTGGACTATATAGTGATGGAACAGCTGATGCGGGCCCATGTCCTTGACACCAGGACCTACTATGGAGCTGATCTGCCCACTGGCCATCGGCTTGTCATCTGTAAGATGCACCTGCCATTCTTCCACTCTGGTGGTGATTGTCCATCTAGGACCCCATTAAAACCCACAGTGGCCTGGTCTCAGCTAGCTGATGAAAGTTGCCTTCAGCTGGGGTTTGCATTGCCCTCCTCCTGCTGATGCCGAGGGGAAATGGGCGAGGTTTAGGACTGTGGCTCAAGCAGGTGCAATGGCTGCATTGGGTACGTGGTGCAAACCTCCCCAGAGACCGTGGCTGACGGAGGAGGTGTTCAGGCTGGCTGAGAAAAAGCGACAGGCCCACTTGCATCGTCTACAGCATCCCACGTCAGAGAATAAGGAGGCTTACCACAGCCCTTGCTCAGCGGTTCGGAGAGCTGTGTGGTGTTGTAAGGATGAGTGGTGGTTGTGGTGTGCTGAGGTGATGGAATCTGCCTCAGTAGCCCGCGATCACAAATCACTCTTTAATTCCATTAAAAAGTGACTTTTAGCACCACACCTATCACTGACTGTGATGTTTCCATCCTACCTGCCTATGTCAGCTGTTATTTCCGGCTCTCTGTGTCTCTCTCTTAGATCTCTCATGTAACATGTCCACACTGCACTCTCATGACTTCGGATTGCACTCTCATGCTCACATGCCCTTTGGATTGCACTCTCATGCTCAGATGCCCTTTGGATTGCACTCTCATGCTCACATGTCCTTTGGATTGCACTCTCATGCTTAGATGTCCTTTGGATTGCACTCTCATGCTCAGATGCCCTTTGGATTGCACTCTCATGCTCAGATGCCCTTTGGATTGCACTCTCATGCTCAGATGCCCTTTGGATTGCACTCTCATGCTCAGATGCCCTTTGGATTGCACTCTCATGCCCTTTGGGTTGCATCTCTCATGCTCACATGTCCTTTGAATTGCACTCTCATGGTTGTAATCTCTCATTTGCACTGCTGCTGTGTGCATATGCGGGCAGGATACTCTTATGCGGCGACGGAAGCTCATTCATGCTAATCTCCCTCCCTAATCCCTCTCTCCCCAATCTCCCCCATTAACACAACTAACGTGCTTGCGTCCGGGGGTGGAATTCCTTTCCAGCTCAGACCCCGCTTGCTTGTCCATCGCCACATAAATAACCTCTTGTTGTAACAGCTCTCTCGCTGGTTCAGCAGTTCCACTGCTGGATTATATTTTTTCCGCCTGAGAACGACCGCTTGTGTTGCGATCAAAACGTCGTGATCTATTTTATTTTATACCTACGGGACTTTGCCGAAAGAACCAAAGAGCATGGATTCCTGCAGTCACGAAAGCTTCAAATCATTATTATAACAGTCTGGACCACCCGATGGGTTCCGCAGGATTGAAAAGATGCTGTGGTGGTCCCCCTCTTCAAGAAGAGGAACTGCACAGACTGTAACAACTACAGGGGCATCTCACTCCTTAGTGTGCCAGGAAAGGTCCTGGCAAGGATTATTCAACATCGCCTTGCCAGGCACACCGAGGAGAGGCTTGCGGAGCCCCAATGCGGTTTCAGACCAGGGCGGTCCTACACAGATGCCATTTTCTGTGTCCGTCTGCTACATCAGAAATGTAGGGAATTTCAGCAGGACCTACATCTCTGCTTTATTGACCTGGTCAAGGCCTATGATACCATCAATAGGTCTGGGCTCTGGGTTGTTCTTCCTGCTTTCGGAGTCCCTGACCCTCTGCTCACAATCAGTAAGGACCTTCATGATGGTGGGCTGGCCTGGGTAAACTACGTGGTCAGGAGCATTGCGCACCGTGATTCCCTGTTCACCTTGGGATATGACAGGGATGTTCTCTGGCTCATATTTTATTTACCATATATTTCGACCACGTAGTTAAATAAGCTTTTTATGGCTGTACCGTAGGAATTTACAATGAGGGAAAAAAGTATTTGATCCAACTGCTGATTTTGTACGTATACCCACTGACAAAGAAATGATTAGTCTATAATTTTAATTGTAGGTTTATTTGAACAGTGAGAGACAGAATAACAACAAAATCCAGAAAAACGCATGTCAAAAATGTTATAAATTGATTTGCATTTTAATGAGGGAAATAAGTATTTGACCCCCTCTCAAACAGAAATATTTCTGGCTCCCAGGTGTCTTTTATACAGGTAACGAGCTGAGATTAGGAGCACACTCTTAAAGGGAGTGCTCCTAATCTCAGCTTGTTACCTGTATAAAAGACACCTGTCCACAGAAGCAATCAATCCATCAGGTTCCAAACTCTCCACAATTGCCAAGACCAAAGAGCTCTCCAAGGATGTCAGGGACAAGATTTTAGGCCTACACAAGGCTGGAATGGGCTACAAGACCATTGCCAAGCAGCTTGATGAGAAGGTGACAACAGTTGGTGCGATTATTCGCAAATGGAAGAAACACAAAAGAACTGTCAATCTCCCTCGGCCTGGGGCTCCATGCAAGATCTCACCTCGTGGAGTTGCAATGATCATGAGAACAGTGAGGAATCAGCCCAGATCTACACGGGAGGATCTTGTCAATGATCTCAAGGCAGCTGGGACCATAGTCACCAAGAAAACAATTGGTAACACACTACGCCGTGAAGGACTGAAATCCTGCAGCGCCCGCAAGGTCCCCCTGCTCACGAAAGCACATATACATGCCCGTCTGAAGTTTGCCAATGAACATCTGAATGATTCAGAGGACAACTGGGTGAAAGTGTTATGGTCAGATGAGACCAAAATGGAGCTCTTTGGCATCAACTCAACTCGCCGTGTTTGGAGGAGGAGGAATGCTGCCTATGACCCCAAGAACACCATCCCCACCGTCAAACATGGAGGTGGAAACATTATGCTTTGGGGTGTTTTTCTGCTAAGGGGACAGGACAACTTCACCACATCAAAGGGACGATGGACGGGGCCATGTTCCATCAAATCTTGGGTGAGAACCTCCTTCCCTCAGCCTAGGCATTGAAAATGGGTCGTGGATGGGTATTCCAGCATGACATTGACCCAAAACACATGGCCAAGGCAACAAAGGAGTGGCTCAAGAATAAGCACATGAAGGTCTTGGAGTGGCCTAGCCAGTCTCCAGACCTTAATCCCATAGAAAATCTGTGGAGGGAGCTGAAGGTTCGAGTTGCCAAACGTCAGCCTCGAAACCTTAATGACTTGGAGAAGATCTGCAAAGAGGAGTGGGACAAAATCCCTGCTGAGATGTGTGCAAACCTGGTGGCCAACTACAATAAACGTCTGACCTCTGTGATTGCCAACAAGGGTTTTGCCACCAAGTACTAAGTCATGTTTTGCAGAGGGGTCAAATACTTATTTCCCTCATTAAAATGCAAATCAATTCATAACATTTTTGGCATGCGTTTTTCTGGATTATTTTGTTGTTATTTTGTCTCTCACTGTTCAAATAAACCTACCATTAAATTATAGACTGATCATTTCTTTGTCAGTGGGCAAACGTACAAAATCAGCAGGAGATCAAATACATTTTTCCCTCACTGTACATCTGGTACAGATACAATGGGAGGCTGATCAATGCCCGGGTGCGGTCAATGGATGGCTCCCTATTGGTCAACCAGGTTACGTATGCTGCTGATCTGCTGAATGCTGCTTACTCAGAGAATGAGTTGGAGGTATTCCTGCCCCATCTCTTACTGTGCCACTAAGATGTGGGGCCATACCCTCAGCCCCTACAAAAACTAAGCTCCTGCCTGGGTATTTTGAGTCATCAAACACTCCACCCGCACAACTCCCCATTGGTGATGGAGCAGTTGTGGAAAGAGTGGAGAGTATCCAATACCTGGGCAGTGTGCTTATAGTCAGCTCCAGTTTGACAGCAGAAGTCTCGCTCAGAATCAGTCGAGCTGTATTATGCTTTCATCAGCTGTGTAACGCTGTGTGGAAGCTACCTGGCCTGTCACTCCACATGCAGCTTCAGGTCTTCTCGGCTATGGGCATGCCCTCCTTCCTCTATGCTTGAAAAACATGGGCTCCCCTAATGGAACATCTTTGACAATTAAAAATATTCAGGCTGGCCTGATTACAATCCATCTTGGGTTTAACCAGGCTGGATTGTGCGAGGAGCTCACAGATCCTTGAAATATCTGGACAAAGTCCCATCAGTAAGCTCCTTTGGCAGGCAAGGCTGCGTTGGCTGGGTCATGTAGCCCGCATGCCACACCACATGCCTAAACAGATTGTATTCAGCCGGAAAGAGGGAGCTAAACGGGCAGGCAAGGGCGAGAGAAGAGATGGAGTGATGTGGAGCCGAGTAGACTTTCCAATGACTGGTACCAGTGGTGTCAAGATCGGTCGCTGTGGAGAAGGATCGTGAAGGACGCTACTGGGCAGTTGGAGGCAGTCGCCCTCCAGAAACAATGGAGGGCAGAGAAGTGACGCTCACAACAATGAGGGGAGCGCCGGGAAGCTAAAACACAAAAAGTTGGCACAGTGGGGGGGGGGGGGGGGGGGGTATAGGTGGTGCATCGGCCAGTCATCTCAGTCAGTCATCCCATGGCACCTGGGTCTGTCCCGAGACCTCCTGCAAGCGGGCGTTTGATACTTCACGTGGCCTTAAAGTGCACATAGATTGGCACAAGCGCCGTGGTGACGTCACCGCCACTTAGTGGCGAATGGCAGTTGTTGTTGTGAGTTTGGTGAGTGAGTGGGTGAGTGTGTGGGTGAGTGGGTGGGTGGGTGTGTGGGTGAGTGGGTGGATGAGTGGGTGGGTAAGTTAGTGAGTGGGTGGGTGGGTGGGTGAGTGGGTGGGTGAGTGGAGTGAATGGGTAAGTGGGTGAGTGTGCTGCGGGGTCGGCGCGCGTACCTGTGTGTCGCGTGCCCTCTCGTAGGCCTGGTACGCCACCTTCTCCTCCATGCTCACCAGTTCCTGCCTCAGGTTCATCATCTCATTCTGGTGGAGTTCCGTGAGGTCGCTCAGCTGCTCCTCCAGACGCTCGAACCTACGGACATTACAACAATAATGTTAAACAATACCATTACAACAGTAATGTTAAACAATACCATTACAACAATAATGTTAAACAATACCATTACAACAATAATGTTAAACAATACCATTACAACAATAATGTGAAACAATACCATTACAACATTAATGTTAAACAATACCATTACAACAATAATGTAAAACAATACCATTACAACAATAATGTTAAACAATACCATTTCAACAAACACGGTGCAATAATAATAAGTCCCCAACCGCCTAGCGCAGAGGTTAGGGGCCTGGGCTCCAGTCCGAGTTTCATCATCAGCTATAGATTCACACAGAGACCTAGAGACTTTCACAGAGACCCATAGACTCACACAAGAGATCGGAAGACTCAAAGAAACCCATAGACTCACGGGGATCCACAGACTCACACAGGGGTCCACAGACTCACACAGAGACCCACAGACTCACACAGAGACCCATAGACTCCCAAGATGCAGCGAACTGCAGCTCTTATCACGAGTTGCTTCTTCTTTCGTATGGCTGATGTAAATGCAAAGCAACAACTGCAAAGACTGTGATCACACCACAGTGTGAACACAGTCTCACACCACACCACAGTCACACACCAAACCACAGTCTCACACCACACCACAGTGTGAACACAGTCTCACACCACACCACAGTCTCACACCACAGTGTGAACAGTCTCACACTACACCACAGTCTCACACCACACCACAGTGTGAACACAGTCTCACACCACAACACAGTCTCACACCACACCACAGTGTGAACACAGTCTCACACCACAACAGTCTCACACCACACCACAGAGTGAACACAGTCTCACACCACACCACAGTCTCACACCAGTGTGAACACAGTCTCACACCACAACACAGTCTCACACCACACCACAGTCTCACACCACACCACAGAGTGAACACAGTCTCACACCACACCACAGAGTGAACACAGTCTCACACCACACCACAGTCTCACACCACACCACAGTGTGAACACAGTCTCACACCACAACAGTCTCACACCACACCACAGAGTGAACACAGTCTCACACCACAGTCTCACACCACAGTGTGAACACAGTCTCACGCCAGACCAGTCTCACACCACACCACAGTCTCACACCACACCAGAGTGTGACCAGACCGTAGTGCAACGTACAGTGAGGGAAAAAGTATTTGATCCCCTGCTGATTTTGTACGTTTGCCCACTGACAAAGAAATGATCAGTCTATAATTTTAATGGTAGGTTTATTTGAACAGTGAGAGACAGAATAACAACAAAAAAATCCAGAAAAACGCATGTCAAATATGTTATAAATTGATTTGCATTTTAATGAGGGAAATAAGTATTTGACCCCTCTGTAAAAACATGACTTAGTACTTGGTGGCAAAACAATTGATGGCAATCACAGAGGTCAGACGTTTCTTGTATTCTAGATTTAAAGCTTTCGTGACTGCAAGGACCCATACTCTTTGGTTCTATTCGCTAAAGTCACGTAGGTAAAAAATAAAACAACAAAAATCACGATGTTTCGGCCACAACACAAATGGCCTTCATCAGGTGAAGGGACCGTGCTGTCACGAAGACAGCGTTAGAATTAAGAAAGTCAAGCCAGGTCGCGTCCTTTAAGCTGTGTGGGAGGAAACCAAACGCTTTGACAAAGGAATTAGCATAAAGTGCTGATAGAGCACCTAACACGGGGGGGGGGGGAGTTTACAAACGTTGTTTTGAAGGGAAATAAGCTGCTGTGAAAATTTGGTACATCACTACTTGGATAAATATACTGTACCATTGAAAATTAGTTTAATGTTTGGTATGATTTAGAACTTCTTTCCAATGATTGCTTAATTTGAAACCATCTTCTCTGTTGAAATTGTGTCTGTGTTTGAAAATCTGAATTGCCTCGTGGACAAATCTCTGATGATAACCTATAGGACACATCCAAGCAGACGTTGCGAGAGCTGAAACAGCCACTATTCTTAAGAATGCTAAGAAACCCATTAGCAACATCAGCAAAATGAACACTCTGAACTCACGAATTTAAAAAAACAGAAGTGATATAGTCATCCTCTCAGCCGACAAAGGCAACGCTACTGTAATTATGGATAAAGATTCGTACAACAACAAAATCCAAAACCTACTCAACGATGGAAGTTACTCAAAAATTAAAAATGACCCTACTAATATCCGAACAATAAAAACCAACAAGATCATCACAAGTTCGACCTCCCTAATCGAACCAACTAAACGTCCCTCCTTAAAACCTTCTGCTGCTAGACCCCCTAGATTCTATGGTCTCCCCAAGTTTCATAAAGAAGGCACTCCACTACGACCCATCGTATCCACGATCAACTCCCCTACCTATAAGCTAGCACGTTTTCTGTCAGATACCTTGCTACCTTTCACTGGCAAGACCTCCTCAGCAGTACTTAACTCAGCCCAATTGGTCTCTATGGTCAAAGACGTTGTACTGTCCCCTGACGATATCCTTGTCAGCTTCAATGTGGTCTCCCTGTTCACCAAGGTCCCGGTACCTGATACCATTGAAATAATTGAAAATTTGGTACAACATGGACTAGACCCCGATACACCTGCGCTGGTTAGACACTGCCTCACCAATACATACTTTACTTGGAATGGCACCTTCTACAAACAAAATGAGGGTACCCCCATGGTTTCTCCCTTATCACCAGTGATAGCCAATGTTTTCATGGAGAAATGTGAATCAGACGCCATCCAGACTTCCACCCTCAGACCTTCCCTGTGGAAGAGATATGTGGATGACACTTTCGTCATTTGGCCACATGGCTTCCCAGCTTTGAACCTTTTCCTACACCACATCAATTCCAGACATCCCACCATCAAATTCAGCATGGAAGTGGAGAAAGATGGCAAGCTACCATTCTTGGATGTTCTGTTTGAGAGGAGACCTGATGGCTCATTGGGGCAGTCTGTCTACAGGAAACCCACCCACACAGATTCCTACTTGAAGCCTGATTCCCACCACCACCCAGCTCAAAATAACTCTCTCATCAAAACTTTATACCACAGGGCTCATTGCATTTCGGACCAACACCACCTGACCAGTGAATTAAAACATGTACACCTGACCCTCAAGAGAAACGGATACTCTGACCGTACCATCCGCCAAGCTGTTTCTCCCTCTATACAGAAACAACCACTTGATACTCCGGTCAAAACCATCGCACTACCATATATAGCAGGCGTTACTAAAAAGATCTCCAAAATTCTAAACAAACACAAGATCCTGGTCCGGTTCAACACAGTACACAAAATCCGTGACCTGATCCCATCCGTGAAGGATGTCATTCCTGACTTACAGTACCCCGGGGTTTACAAATTGAGCTGCACTTGTGGTGATTACTATATCGGGGAGACGAAGCGACATGTCTCTGACCGAATTCGTGAACACAAATCAGATTTGAAACACGGCAGAACGAATTCTTCTGCCGTGGCTGACCACTGTTACAACGCTGTGGGTGATCACGATATAGTGTTCTCCGATACCAAGATCCTTTGCAAACCTATAGGTTATCATCAGAGATTTGTCCACGAGGCAATTCAGATTTACAAACACAGACACAATTTCAACCGAGAAGATGGTTTCAATTAAGCAATCATTGGAAAGATGTTCTAAATCATACCAAACATTAAACTAATTTTCAATGGTACAGTATATTTATCCAAGTAGTGATATACCAAACTTTCATAGCAGCTTATTTCCCTTCAAAACAACCGTTTGTAAACTCCCCTCCCCCCGTGTTAGGTGCTCTATCAGCACTTTATGCTAATTCCTTTGTCAAAGCGTTTGGTTTCCTCCCACACAGCTTAAAGGACGCGACCTGGCTTGACTTTCTTAATTCCAACACTGTCTTCGTGACAGCACGGTACCTTCACCTGATGAAGGCCACTTGTGTTGTGGCCGAAACGTCGTGACTTTTGTTGTTTTATTTTTTACCTACGTGACTTTACCGAATAGAGCCAAAGAGTACGTTTCTTGTCGTTGGCCACCAGGTTTGCACACATCTCAGGAGGGATTTTGTCCCACTCCTCTTTGCAGATCTTCTCCAAGTCATTAAGGTTTCGAGGCTGACGTTTGGCAACTCAAACCTTCAGCTCCCTCCACAGATTTTCTATGGGATTAAGGTCCGGAGACTGGCTAGGCCACTCCAGGACCTTCATGTGCTTCTTCTTGAGCCACTCCTTTGTTGCCTTGGCCGTGTGTTTTGGGTCATTGTCATGCTGGAATACCCATCCACGACCCATTTTCAATGCCCTGGCTGAGGGAAGGAGGTTCTCACCCAAGATTTGACGGTACATGGCCTCGTCCATCGTCCCTTTGATGCGGTGAAGTTGTCCTGTCCCCTTAGCAGAAAAACACCCCCAAAGCATAATGTTTCCACATCCATGTTTGACGGTGGGGATGGTGTTCTTGGGGTCATAGGCAGCATTCCTCCTCCTCCTCCAAACACGGCGAGTTGAGTTGATGCCAAAGAGCTCCATTTTGGTCTCATCTGACCACAACACTTTCACCCAGTTGTCCTCTGAATCATTCAGATGTTCATTGGCAAACTTCAGACGGGCATGTATATGTGCTTTCTTGAGCAGGGGGGACCTTGCGGGTGCTGCAGGATTTCAGTCCTTCACGGCGTAGTGTGTTACCAATTGTTTTCTTGGTGACTATGGTCCCAGCTGCCTTGAGATCATTGACAAGATCCTCCCTGTAGTTCTGGGCTGATTCCTCACCGTTCTCATGATCATTGCAACTCCACGAGGTGAGATCTTGCATGGAGCCCCAGGCCGAGGGAGATTGACAGTTCTTTTGTGTTTCTTCCATTTGCGAATAATCGCACCAACTGTTGTCACCTTCTCACCAAGCTGCTTGGCAATGGTCTTGTAGCCCATTCCAGCCTTGTGTAGGTCTACAATCTTGTCTCTGACATCCTTGGAGAGCTCTTTGGTCTTGGCCATGGTGGAGAGTTTGGATTGATTGATTGCTTCTGTGGACAGGTGTCTTTTATACAGGTAACAAGCTGAGATTAGGAGCACTCCCTATAATAGTGTGCTCCTACTCTCAGCTTGTTACCTGTATAAAAAACACCTGGGAGCCAGAAATCTTTCTGTTTGAGAGGGGGTCAAATACTTATTTCCCTCATTAAAATGCAAATCAATTTATAACATTTTTGACATGCGTTTTTCTGGATTTTGTTGTTGTTATTCTGTCTCTCACTGTTCAAATAAACCTACTATTAAAATTATAGACTGATCATTTCTTTGTCAGTGGGCAAACGTACAAAATCAGCAGTTGGATCAAATACTTTTTTCCTTCACTGTATAACGATGTGATGGCCCGATCCCACAAATACAAGGAGACATCACAGTGAGCGCTGACGCAGTAATAAAGTATAATCGGTTTATCAGCATTATTAATTTTAAAAATTACTATTTTTAATATTCGTATAATGATTATACTAATAATTATTATACAAGAAAATCTCATCATACTAGTATTATTAGTATAATATTAATTCATATACTAAGAATAATTAAACTTTTCATAAGTATTATACTAATAATTATTATTAACTATTACACTCATACTAATTACGTGACTTTACCGAAAGAACCAAAGAGTATGGATCCTTGCAGTCACGAAAACTTCAAATCTAGTCTGCGTAATAAGCGTTTTTTTTTTATTGCTTTTGCCCAAAAAGTACAGAAAATGGCTGTTTATTCCCCACAAACTTTGCTTTTGTGACCGGGACTTTATGTGAACGAAAGACACAAATGCACACCACGTTTCCTCATTGAAAATAGTTCAATTTCAAATGATCACTGTCCTAGTCACAAAAGCATTTTCTGTACTTTTGAGGCATAAGCAATTATGAAATAACATTTACTACCCAGGAGTTTTTTGTTTGTTACACAGTGTTATTATTAGTTGCACTGTGTATTTAGTTTATAGGAAGACACTCCCACAGTGACTGTATTAATACAAACATTTGAAGGTAACAATACTATATTCTTAGTTTTTTCGGTAAAGTCACGTTGAAGAGAAACAACAAAATAACAAAATATATATAAAACAATAAAAAATTCTCACGACGTTTCGACCATAACTCAAACGGTCATCATCAGGTGTGTCGGTTTGCATAAATTATGCAAACCGACACACCTGATGATGACCGTTTGAGTTATGGTCGAAACGTCGTGAGAATTTTTTATTGTTTTATATATATTTTGTTATTTTGTTGTTTCTCTTCAACGTGACTTTACCGAAAAAACTAAGAATATGAATTACTGCAGTCACGAAAGCTTTAAATCAAAATGTAACAATACTACTCACAATTCAGTTACCGTGCAGCCGCTTGCTATCACGCCGGTCTAGGACTTCCTCCAAGAGGGTTGGCCGATCGCGATACTTCATCGTGCTGCTCGAATTGATGCAATAGCCAGGATGCATTAATCATCAGGCTTGATCCACGGTAAACCGCAGGTCATTTTTAATGACTACAGTAAAACCTAATCTTTTCGGTATTTGATCATTCGTAATTGGGGATAATACGGCACGGCTGAGGCTTTCGGCACATATACAGTATTAGTAATACAGTAAAACCTTGGATTACGCGTAACTCGGTCTGCGAGTGTTTTGCAAGACGAGCAAACATTTTTCATACATTTTTATCTGATAAACGAGCGAGGTCTTGCAATACGAGTAGTACGTATACGCTTTGTCTGCTGAGCATCACGTGATCACAACTGATATACGAGTGCTTTGATATACGAGTGCTTTGGATTACAAACACGTTTCCGGAACGAATTATGCTCGCAATCCAAGGTTTTACTGTACGCCACGAGGCGAATCGCCGTACCGAATGGTCCAATTTCAGCATACACGTGGAGCGACACCGGGCGGCACGACCAAAACAATGACTCGGTCTGGTGTCTGCATGCATGGTGAGCGTTAGTGCAAACCTGTCGCTTTGGATTTGACCTTGTTAATGCCCTCTGTGCAGAACCGTCGTCTATGCCTAAATCAAGAAGTAATAGAAAGGGACTGACATATAATTCCTTTAGTCTGTGAGACAAATAAAACGTTTTGGATATTATTGATACAGAGTGTGTCGATACGTGTGGTGTGTGAAGAGTTTGGGAAAAAAAAATGCATTGGGCAAGAGCCACTGAGGAGTGCCATTGTTCAGAATTCGGAATATTGGATAATTCGGCAAGGCCAGAGGCCCATATGCGTCGAATTAACAAGGGTTTGCTGTACATTTTTCGTGGAATTATTTGTCTTAACATTCTGTGTTATCTGTTTATATATCTGTTGATTCGGGGATGGGGGGGGGGGCCTTGTAGCCGACCGGGCCCCGATGCGCCACGTGACGCTGCCGCACACCCAATAGTCGCATCGCTGGGCCTACTCCACTGCTGGCTTAAAACTTGAGCACCGCGGTGCCGGATTCAAATGATACCGCGCTCCGTTCACAAAGCACTCTTTCAGCAAACCGTGCGTATGTATGTTGAACATATTTGGCACTGCATGTAGCCAACCATGCTAATCGAAGGTGCAGGGGAAAGAACAGCAAACTAAAGACAAAAAGCAGTTCTAAAGAAATTAGCTTGTCAATCTCGATGATGATATAAAGTGCTCAGCTCCCATCAGCTTCCTAATATGTGAAGGAAGACAGATCCAGACTCGTATCGAACTATATAGTTCCAGAGACTTATAGAGACCCATAGAGACCTATACTCATATGTATGTATGTATGCTGAGCTTCTTTTGCACCATACGTAGCCCACCGCACTAATTGGAGGTGCGGAGGAAGGAAAGAAACAAACACACATAAAGCAGTTCTAAAGAAACGAGTTTGTCAATCTCGATGATGATTTAAAAGTGGCATAGCTCCCAGCCGCTTCCTAACATGGGAAGGAGCAGCGTTTGACCGACACACGGTGCAGCACTACAGTCCTTGTTCTAGGAGTCGGACGGCCTCGCACTCGGTCTGTGTCCGTGCCCTTCTGCCGGACACGCTCTCGGCAAAACAAAAGTTTCCGCGCTCGGGGCTTAATCCGGTCTTTCGAGGCGCTCGTATTTGGAAAGCTCTCTGCCTGAGGCACCGTGCCTCGCCGCTGAGATTCTCGCATTGAGAAAGGAACGCTGAAGCGAACTAACCCCGAAGATATGTGAGGTGAACTAGAGCGGGGTTTGTTTTTGTTTGCTGTATGGCACTTGGAAGCCCTTTGTTGTGCCTTATAAACACGTAAATAATGATGATGGTGATGATGATGACGATGATGATGACGATGATGACGATGATGACGATGGTGATGACGAGGACGATGGTGATGACGAGGATGATGGTGATGATGATCGTGATGATGACCGTGATGATAATGATGATGGTGATGATGACCGTGATAATGATGGTGGTGATGATGACGATGGTGATGATGACGAGGATGATGGTGATGATGATGGTGATGATGATCGTGATGATGATGATCGTGACGATGATGTTGATGATGTTGATGATGGTGATGACAATGACAATGGTGTGGGAGGTGCTGGAGGCACCGGTAGCGCTCCTCATGCAGGCTCTGCGACAGCACGGCGTACTCCTGCTGGTGCTGAGCCTTCACCGCCTCCAGCAGGTGGCCCAGCCGCGCCTGCAGGCACAAAGACAAAGGTCCCCCGCATAGCCTCAGCGCGCGGTCGGAGGTGCCGAGCGCCATTATGGCGAGCGGCGCCCGTGAAGGCCGGGAGTCGGTGACCAGCACCGCACCGGGCCGCCTTTGTCTCGAGCAGTGCGGATGTTCACACACCACACCGGGTGCTCGTTTACGGCTGAGCCGACCTAGGGGAAGTAGAAGATCGGTTCTGTGAGCGGGAATCGGGTCGCCGGGTTCGCGGTTAGCACTGCGCCACTGCTCCCCACATACGCAAACACCCAAGCAGGCGTCAACACACGCACATAAAGACAAGTATCAGCCGTGTAGCCTTAACAGACCATTGGGGAAAGTGCTGTTAGCGAACACCTATGAAGGCCGGCACGGCACACGAAGGGTGTGGGTGGCCAGCACCACGCCCGGCCGCCTTTGTTTCCCCAGTGACGATGTTTACACACCGTACCGGGTACTCATTTAAGGCCGAGTTGACCTAGGGGAGGCCCAGGACTCGTTTAGATAATCGTCACTGGTGTTAGCCGTGAGTGAGAATCGAACTCGGGTCGCTAGGTTCGTAGCGCAGCGCGCTAACCGCTATGCTACCACTGCCCACACTGCATCGCCTATTGCTCACTTACCACACCACACCACACACACCACACACACCACACACCGCATTACGCTTTGCTCACTCACCACACCACACACCGCACACGCTGCATCACATGTCCCTCACTCACCTGCGCCTCGCGAATCTCTCTCAGCTCCTCCACCACCGTCTCCAGGCCTCTTCGCTGAGCCTCCGAAAGTCCCCCCATACCTCCACCACCGCCACCTCCACCGCCACCACCACTGCCACCACCACCACCACCACGAGGGCTGCCCCCCCCTCCGCCCGTGCCGCCCCCGTGCAGCGCCGCTCCGGTCGGCCCCCCGGCCCCCGCCGGCGGTGCCAGCGCCAGGCCCAGGCCGCTCTCCGCGCCCAGGGAGCCGGACGTGGCGCTGGAGCAGTCGTCGTCGCTGCCGGCGCCGCGGGGAGAGTGCGACGACGACGCCGGCGCTGCGGGGCCCCCGGCGGCGGCGCCGGTGGCGGAGGGCGCCAGCATCGTGGTGGAGGAGGAGAGACCCGGGGAGTCGTCATCGGCGGTGGAGTTGGCGGCGAAGTTGGAGGTGGAGGAGGGAGCGGCGGAGAGGTGGCTGGAGCGCAGCGTGGGCAGCGAGTCGTCCAGCGTGGTGTGCTGGGGGGTGGTGATGGTGGAGGTGGTGAATGGGCGGTGGTGAGGAGCAGTAGCGCAGCGGTTAGCGCGCTGCGCTACGAACCCGATAACCCGAGTTGCCGGCCCCCAACATAAGTGACGATTATCTGAACCGGTCCTGGGCATCTCCTGGGTCGACTCAGCCTCAAATGAGTACCTGGCAGGGTGTGTAAACATCACCACTGGGGAGACAAATGCCGGTACGTATGGCGTGCCGGCCTTCATAGGTGCTCTCTACCAGCACTTGCCCCAATGGTCTGTTTCGGCTATACGGGGGGGCGAGGGGATCTTTGTCTTTGGTGGTTATGATAACTACAAAGGTCAGCTACAAGGTCGCCTGCAGCCAATGGCATGGCGCTTCGACTGTCGGTCGTCCACGTGATGATGATGAAAAGCCACTTCCTCGAGCTATCCTTTGTGGTAGCCAGGGTCAATTCTGAAAACGAGCTTTCTATAGCTTAGTGGGGGCTGTACCTTGCGAAATAAAACATTGTTTAAGTTAGAGGCATGTAAAGCCCCCACCTCTTCCTTAAAGCCCCCACCTCATCCTTAAAGCCCCCACCTTTTATTTCTTAAAGGCCTCAACTCTCTCGCCCGGCTGCCATGGCAGTGGCAATCGCACGGGTGAACAATCGCACGGGTGAACAATCGCAAAGGTGAACAATCGCACGGGTGAACAATCATAAGGGTGAACAATGGCATCGGGTGAACAATCGCACGGGTGAACAATCGCATGGGTGAACAATCGCATGGGTGAACAATCGCACAGGTGAACAATCACACGGGTGAACAATCGCACGGATGAACAATAGCACGGGTGAACAATCATAAGGGTGAACAATCGCACGGCTGAACAATCGCATGGGTGAACAATCGCACGGGTGAACAATCGCACTGGTGAACAATCGCACGGGTGAACAATAGCACGGGTGAACAATGATAAGGGTGAACAATCGCACGGGTGAGCAATAGCACAGGTGAGCAATCGCAGGGGGAGACGAGCGGCCGGCTGCGTGGCCCGCGAGGCGCCCACCTGCAGGTCGTGCAGGTTGTCGGCGCTGCCGAAGTGGTGACGGAAGAACTCGCGGGGCCGGTGGACCACAGCGCCGGCGGCCGAGTGAGACAGGCCGAGGAGGCCGCCCCGCACCGTGTCCACCACGCCCTCGCCGAACCCGCGCAGGGCCACCCCCTTGGCGTGCCGGGGGCCGGCGCCGGGGACCGTGCCGGCGCCGCCGCCGCCCTGGGAGCCGCCGCTGCCGCCGCTGCCACCACCGCTGCCGCTCTGCTCCATCTGCGGGGTGATCGGCAACGCCGCGGTTGATGGTTTCAAAACTCACAATCAGTCTTTACCCTTTCTGGCTATATTAAAACAACGAGGTGTTTACATGTGCAAACAACAAATAGATTCCTTTTGAAAGGAATCAAATTACTGCATTAACCACAAGCAGTACTTGCGGTGAACGTGCAAACAAACATGGCTCTGATAATTATTAATATACGGCATTGTCTGTGAAGCCGATTGGCCTACACCAGAGACAGCGGCCTTCTTTAGGGCCCTGTCTCGCTACCAGCGTCAGAGCGGCGAACAACACCAAACAGACAAACAGCACAAAGATGATGCACGTATCATTTATAGCTCGGGGTGACCCGCTATGTCAGTCGTAAACTGACGCTATATCAGTCATGTTTGAACATCTTAATACCTCCTGTTTGATTGGCAGAAAGCGTAAAACCCATTCTTATTTTTCATACTTTGAAACCGGCAAAAAGGTATCCCGTGATATGGTTGGTGGTTTGTTCCCCGGACGGGTGCTGCGTTCGCCTCGTTTTACGCACGTGAACAGCTATCTTTAATCATAATAAAGGTTTTTGGGTTTGATCGCGTTATTTATAAATGTGTCGTAACCCTCCACCACCCGACACAGCCAATCAGCAAAAGAAAGTGTCACGTTGACAAAAGACAATTAGTTCACTACTTTAGCCCAACGGTGTTGAAGAGTGAATCCACAACATTTACAGTTTGAGTACGACGTTTCGCTGGTAATTACATCCAGCATCATCGGGAAATTCGCCAGAATGGTAAAGCCCTCACTTGCTCTCGGTCTTAAATAGAGCAGCAGGGTGACATCATCATTTAACTCATTTCAGGTGCAGTGATTTGAGGCGGAGGGGGGGGGTATTGTAATTATATAATCGATTGGTAATCAGTAAATGGTTATGATTAGTAATGAGTTGTAGATTAGTAATTAGATGTAATGTGTGTAATTGTGATTATATGCTACATTAGTAATCCGTTAATTAATATGTGTTTCCCCTATAAGGAATTGTAATATGTATTATTTAATAATACGCTTCCAAGCCGCACTAAGCCTATAGCTATCAGAACGATTAAAGTTATTTCTGTTTCTCTCAATTTCAATGGATTCTCTAATTAGTCTTTGCCAGTAATAATTAGTTTTACACAACACTTCAACGTTATCAAAATCAATTGAGTGTCCTTGTTGACAAGCATGTTCTGCCACTGCCGACAGTTGTGTTTGAGATAATTTAATATTTCTTTGGTGTTCTTTTAGTCTTATGCTGATGTTACGTCCCGTCTGTCCAATATAGCATCTGCCACATAAACAATTAATCCGATATACACCTTCTGTTGATAATTTAGGTAATTCGTCTTTAGTGCAAGATACTAGTTTTTGAATTTTGTGTACTGTACCAAATCTTACTGTAATGTTTTGCTTTTGCAAAACACGGACTAATTTGTCAGTTACTCCTGAGATATATGGAATTTTAATTGTTTTAAGAATCTGATCGCTTTCAGCAGTGTTGCTTTGCAATCGTGATTTGGCATTTAGTGCTCTGTTAATTTGAGTATTATTGTAGCCATTCTGCCGTAATGCTTCTTTAAAATGTTTGATCTCTCTCACTAGACTTTCACCATCTGACACTGTTTTAGCCCGATGTATGAGCGTCTTGATAAGAGAGGATTTCTGAGCTGGATGATGATGCGAATCTGCATTCAGATAGGCATCAGTGTGCGTTTGCTTTCTGTAAACGCTGTGTGTTATTTTACCGTTTATGCCATGTCCAAGCAAAATATCTAGGAACGGGAGTGTTATTCACCTCCATTTCCATGGTGAACTAGATGGCCGGGTTTTGTGTATCTTTAAACTACTAAACTATTTTTACTTTACCAGGTAAGGCCCCGCTGAGCTGCTGTGTAGCTCTTGGTCAGAAACGACCCTGGCTATCGGAAATGACAGCTCAACGAAGTGGCTCATCACGTGGTCATTTATAGCAGCCAAATTGTCTAAACAGCTGATGTTGATTCTGAATGCGGAGGAAAAAAACGGAGGACACAGAAAAAAGTCCATGTGAACATGTGGAAAAGATACGCAAACTCCTAATACACAGCAGGCGCCAGGGTCGGGATCAAACCCACGACCTCCTGCATACCAAGTGAGGTAGTTAACATCTCCCAGCCACCGTGGCTGCTACTAGGGGTCCCCCCCCTACTGGTTAGACTGCAGCAGGGCCCCTGCGGATCACTGCTCCAGTCCTGTACACGCCTCTCCTGCTCCACTCAGGCAATTGAAATCTCCATTGAAAACTCATCTCTGTAGAACCGCTTGTTGCTGTGTCTTAGTTTGTTGTACTTCCCCCCGCACCTCCGATAAAGCACAGTTGGCTACAGTTGGCTACAGTTGGCTATGTATGCTGCGGAAAAAGCTCGGGGCCTCCGGGTCTCTGGGCCTTGGGGCCTCCGGGTCCCCGGGTCTCGGGGCCTCCAGGTCTCCGGGCCTTGGGGCCTCCGGGTCCCTGGGGCGGTGGCGGTGGTGGCGGTGCACTCACGTCGCGCAGGCGGCGGTGGTAGTGGTCGAGCTTGCGCTGCAGCTGCGCGATGGTGGTGGATGACTTCTGGTTTTTCTTCTCGAACACGTGCTTGATGCGCGCGCCCTGCTGCCGGTCGGCGTTGTGTGACAGCTTCAGGTACTCCGCCACATTCTCATCGCGCGCCTCCTGCTCGATGCGCATCCGCTCTGTCACACGCAGCACCTGGTGGGGGGGGGGGGCGTGCCTTTGAGTCGCTCGCGTTCGATGTCCCTGGGATCGGTTGTGAGCAACTGTGCGACTCGGTCACTTGGACAAATCAAACGAGCCGAAACTCACCCGTGAGGCGCAACGTGCCGCTCACTCCCACACTCGCACACACTCACTCACGCTCGCTAACCTTCGCCCACGCTCAGCCGCACTCATACTTGCTCGCTCACCCATGCTCACTCGCTCACCCTCACTCACTCACTCGCTCACACACACAAAGATCCCCCCCAGTATAGCCTTAACAGACTGTCGGGGCAAGTGCTGTTAGCGAGCACCTTTGAAGGCCGGCACGGCACACGAGGGGGTGGGTGGCCAGCACCACGCTCAGCCACCTTTGTTTCCCCAGTGGTGATGTTCACACACTGCACCAGATACTCATTTGGGGCTGAATCAACCTAGAGGAAACCACAACCGGTCACCGGCTTTTGCGGCCACGAGCGGGAATCGACCTCGGGTCGCCGGGTTAGTAGGGCAGCGTAGCGCCAACCGCTGCACCACCGCTCCCCAACTCGCCAACTCAGGGCACCCCCCCGCCGCACTCCCCACCCCCCCCCCCCCCCCCCACCGCCCACCTTCTGCTGCAGCTGTTCGAGGGCCATGACCCTCGTTCTGTGGGGGTCCCCGGCGAGCCCCCCCAAGTCCGCGCCATCGGTTCCCCCCGACATTGCGCTTCCGTCTGAGCCGGCGGAAAGGGGCGCCATGTCCATGCGGTCCACCTGGGGGGGTGAGGGGTGAGGGGGTCAGGGTGGGGAATGGAACAGACACACGACGTGACATCATCGTCGTGTTCACAAGCGACATGACATCGTCGTCGTGTTCACACACAAAAGGTGAGTGGGTGGGTCAGTGAGTGAGCCGCTGTGACCTTTAGTATGATGAGTGTGTAAGTGGGTGGGTGAGTGAGTGGTTGAGTTGGTGGATGAATGAGTGAGCCGCTGTGACCTGTGATGTGGTGAGTGAGTGGGCGAGCGAGTGAGTGAGTGGGCGAGTTAGTGGATGAGTGAGTTTCTGTGACCTGTGGTGTAGTGAGTGAGTGAGCGAGTTAGTGGATGAGTGGGCGAGTTAGTGGATGAGTGAGCTTCTGATCTGTGGTGTGGTGAGTCAGTGGACGAGTGAGTGAGTGGGCGAGTTAGTGGCTGAGTGAGTTTCTGTTACCTGTGGTGTGGTGAGTGGACGAGTGAGTGGGCGAGTTAGCGGCTGAGTGAGTTTCTGTGACCTGTGGTGTGGTGAGTGAGTGGATGAGTGAGTGAGTGAGTGGGCGAGTTAGTGGCTGAGTGAGTTTCTGTGACCTGTGGTGTGGTGAGTGAGTGGACGAGTGAGTGAGTGAGCGAATTTGTGGATGAGTGAGTTTCTGTGACGTGTGGTGTGGTGAGTGGACGAGTTTAAGTCAAGTTTACTGGCTCAACAACTAGAGGCTTGCTTAACAAACGGTGGTTGGCAGCTAGTGTTGTTACATATGGGCAAGTGCGCGCGTTAGTGTGTATGTGTGCATGGGAAGGAGTGGTGGCGCAATAGTTAGCATGCTTGCGCTACGAACCCGGCGACCAGATTTCGATTCCCGCTCGCGGCCAACACCGGTGAAGAATATGCGAACCGGTCCTGGGCCTCCCCAAGGTCGACTTAGCCTCAAATGAGTACTCGGTGCAGTGTGTAGATTTCGCGACTGGGGAGACAAAGGCAGCTAGGGCGTTGTTCTGGCCACCCACTCCCTTGTATGCCGTGTCGACCTTAATAGGTGCTCGCTAACACCACTTGACCTAACAGTCTATTAAAGCTATACGGGGGATCTTTGTCTTTGTGTGTGCGGGCAGAATGCGATGTCGTGTGAGTTACAGAAGTTTATTTTATCGAGCGAGAAACTTAAACACTTAAACAAGACAAAGACAAAAATTCCCCGTGTGGCCTTTAACAGGCTGCAGGGCCAAGTGCCGTTAGCGAGCAGCACCTATGAAGGCCGCCATGGCACACGAGGGGGTGGCTGCCCAGCACCACGCTCGGTCGCCTTTGTCTCTTACCACTGATATTTAAACACCGCACGAGGTCCTCATTTAAGGCCGAGTCGACCTAAGGGAGGTCCTATACCGCTTCAGAAGCTCATCACCGGTGTTTGCGTTGAGCAGGAATAAAATTCGGGTCAGTGGGGCTCATAGCGCAGTGCGCTAACCGCTACACGACCGCTCTCCGTACACAGCAAGCGGCACAAGACACACGCGCCGGGACACACACGGCACGCGGCACACGCATGCCAAGCCATCACACCGACACTTGATCTGCGGGATTAGATAACAAACGCGTGTGGCACACGACTGCATTCATGCACAAAGACAAAGATCCCCTATATAGCCTGAACAGACCGCTGGGGCAAGAGCTGTTAGCGAGCACCTATGAAGGCAAGAACGGTATACAAGGCGGTGGGTGGCCAGCACCACACCCGACCGCCTTTGTCTCCCCAGTGGCGATGTGTACACACCACACCAGGTACTCATTTGAGGCTGAGTCGACCTAGGGGAGGCCCAGGACTGGTTCAGATAATCGTCACTGGTGTTGGCCGTGAGCGGGAATCAAACTGGGGTCGCACGTACGCACACCGACACACACAACAACCTTGAACACACACCGACACACAAAAAGCCTTTTGCTAGACTGTTGGGCCAAGTGCTGCTCGCGAGCAGCACCTATAAAGTATTAATCTAACTATAAACTCGTTTTGCCCTCTGAGCTATATAGCTCGTTTTCAGAAGCGACACTGGCTATCACAAATGATAGCTCAACAAATGGCGCATCATCATCATCATGTGGAAATGTATAGCAGCAGCCAAATATGAGGGAAAAACCGGAGGACCCATAGAAAAATCCACGTGACCATGGCGAGAAATTGCAAATATACAAGCGAACCCACTGCACGGTGCATCGACGGAGGGGGCGGTGTGGCCAGCACCACGCCCATCTGTCTTTGTATCCTCAGATACTCATTTGAGGCTGAGTCCACATTTCCCATACCCCTGATTAGCAGACTTGGCTAAGTTCGGTGCGAAAGAAGTTCAACATACATAAATAGGGGAGGCCCAGGACCGGTTCAGATAATCGTCATTGGTATTGGCCGCGAAAGAGAATCGAACGCAGAGTGCGAACTGCTCCCCACTCACACACACGTGCGTGAACACGCGTATACAACAACAACAACAACTACCATTCTCCACTTATAATCGGTCGTAACGTACACCACGGTGCTTGTGCCAGGCTAGGTGCACTTTGAGGCCACGTCAAGTGTCGAAGGCTCGCTGGCAGGAGGTCACGGGACAGACCCAAGTGCCATGGGTAGACTGACAGATGACTGGCAGATGCACGATCTGTGCCCCCTGCTGTGGGTGGAACCTGGTCAACGCTACTGGACCACTGTAAGGGGGCTGGAGAGAGAGTGGAGATTTTAAATCCTGCGATACCGGAAGTACAACCGGTCGGGCAGCCCACAGGTTGAAAAGGCCCTGCGAGAGTCTTTAGACTCAGATGGACTCCAGCGGTGGACTGAGCGCGTTGAAGGCCCTGGAACTTCACGCACTCCAGCCGCCCGTGCCTAGGCCCTACTACGACGCCTGGGTGCTGCCAACCCAACAGAAGATCGGACCGCATGATTCCCGTCCAACTCCATGGCCTCCAGACTCGTGGAGAACGCAAAAGGACCGTTTGACAGAAAACACCGAGCGAGAGGTCCATCGCCGATTACACCACCAGACAATGGACCTTAATTCCCACTGCCAATAGCGCAGAGGAAGCGAGACAGCGTCTGGCTGCAACGAATACCAAGGATGCTGTCAGAGATGGCATCCCTCACCCAGAATTCCTCCATCGCTTAGGCCCCAGGGGACTCCAATGGCTGACCAAAACCATGAACAATGGATGCATCGCAATAGCATGGTGGGAGGTTATGGTCATTGCCATACCCAAACTGGGCAAGCCAACCGATAACCCAGGAAGCTACAGGCCGATATCACTCCTGTGCACGACCTATGAACTCCTGGAACGCATCATCATCCTCCGGAGAATCAGCCCCCCCCGTCGAGTCAATGATCCCTGAAGAACAAGAGCGAGATTCCGGCCCGGACGCAGCTGTTGCTGCAAACAAGTTTTTGCCCCTTGCGAGGCACATCAAGGCCGGATTCCAGAAGATATCAACGCGAAATGTCAGACACATTCTGAGTTAAGGGCTTGATGTTCGAGCTCGCAAGGGCCATTCCTTGCCTCGAAACAACACGCCTCATATGGACGATGTTGAGCAATAAGCGACTGTGTGTCTACATGGGAAACAAAGCCCTGATTCCTCAACAATGAATTGCCAAAAGGTTCAGTACTCGTGCCAACGCTCTTCAATGTCTACATGAGCGACATGCCACCAACCGGGTCACACAAATTTGTACATGCGGATGACCTTGCCCTGGCAATGCAAGCAGGCACTTTCAATGACATCGAATCCACTCTGAACCAAGACTGAAACAGTTTAACACGTAGGCTTTCACGAACCAATTATTATCAATAAAGGTTTATTTTTAATAGATCGCGTGAATATAAATGTCGTTAAACCCGCCACCACCCGACACAGCTATTTAGTAAGGTTTGTCATGCAAACAAAACATGACAAGTTGTTACTACTTCAGCACACCGTTGTGTTGGAGAGTAAATCTGCAACATTTACAATTCGAGTTAAAGACGTTTCTAGTAACGAATTGGCACGTTTTTGTTTACGTGACAAATCTTATTAATTGCCTGTGTCGGGTGGTGGCGGATTTAACAACACCTTTATATTCACGCAATATAACCCCTCATATAACCCCCAAAAAAATACCTTTCTGGAAGACCTAAACAACCAAGGGAGGATGTTTCCGGAAATGGAGGCTCAAGTCAAATCCCCACAAAACAACAGTCACTGCATTTCATCTTGATAAAAGGAGCACCAAGCACATCGACCGACACCACCGAGTGTGAGTATGCACACTGACGCATGCATACTTACACACTCATGCACTAGCAGTCACGAACATGGACGCACACTCACATACCCAAGCACACACGTGCACACACACACAAGCACTCACACACACACTCACACACATTCACGAACACGGACGCACACATACGTGCACACACGCGCACTCACACACGCCCGCTCCTTGCTGCCCAAAGCTCACAATAATTGACAAACGCAGCAGAATTTGACACGCATCCTCATCACAGCACTATAGTGGCTCACCAGCACCAGAGTGGCTCACCAGAACGAGAGTGGCTCACTAGTGCAAGAGAGTGGCTCACGAGTGCGTGAGTGGCTTACCAGCGTGAGTGTGGCTTACCAGCGTGAGTATGGCTTACCAGCGTATGGCTCACCGGCGTAAGTGTGGCTCACCTGTTCGGCTTGGGGCTGTAACCGTAGATAGGGCTCCGGATCGTTAATAATGCATGGAAACTTAGTCAGGCGCACGCACGCACACACACACTGATCCGCACACACACACACTGATCCACACACACGCACACACACTGATCCACACACATGCACAGACAACAACAACCGCTTGTGCCAGGCTATGTGCACGTTGAGGCCACGTGAAGTGTCGAACGCCCGCTAGCAGGAGGTCAACGGGGCAGACCGAGGTGCCACGGGTCGACTGACTGAGATGACTGAGATGAGTGGCTGATGCACCACCTGTGCCCCCTACTGTGCCAACTTGCTGTGCTTTAGCCACTCGGCGCTCTGCTCGTTGTTGTGAGCATTGCTCCTCCACCTTCACGAGCCTTCTCCGCAGAAGCCGATCTTGACACTGCTGGTACCAGTCATCGGCAAGTCCACTCAGCTCCACATCCTCCTGTACCACATCACTCCATCTCTTCTCTATCCCGTGTCACGCCCGTTTAGCCCCCTCTATCTGGCCGAACAAAAGCTGTTTAAGCATGCGTTGACTGGTCATGCGGGCTACATGGCCCAGCCAACGCAACCTTGCCTGCTACAGGAGCTCGCCGATGGGACTTTGTCCAGATCTTTCAAGGATTTGTGAGCTCCTCACACAATCCAGCCTGGCTAAACCCAGGATGGATCGTAGGCAGGCCAGCCTAAATGTTTCTAACCGGCAAAGATGTTCCATTCAGGGGGTCCACATTCCGCAAGCATAAAGGGAGGGCATGACCGTTGCTAAGAAGACCTGAAGCTACGTGCGGAGCGACAAACCAGGTAGCTTCCACACGGCGTTACGCAACCGATAATGCCGCTCAACTGATTTGGAGTGAGACCTCTGCTGTCAAACCGGAGCCGGTCAGGTATGAGAAACTCTCCACTCTCTCCACAACTCGTGGGGAACACGCGGAACGGGTTGGCGGGCGAGTGGCCAAGCAAGCGGGTGAGCGAGCAGGCGGGCGGGTGGGAGCGAGGGTGCGGGTGAGTGAACGTGCGAGACAGCGGCCGCCCCCTGGCCCCCGACTCGCCGCCCGCGTCTGAATGGGCTCGCTGCGGCTGACTGGCAGGTAGTGGCCGAGCGCGACTTGGGGGGCTCGCGGCGCTCCCCCGCGCCGCGCTGGCACTGGGTAGCGACGTGGGAGCGCTGCCCCCTGGTGGCAGCAGACGGGGCTTAGACTGCTAACATCAACCACGTGAACACCAAGCCGGACGTAATGCAGGTCACACCAACATACTCAGCCACCCACACACTCAGCCATCAGCCCAACCACTCACCCACGCACCCATTCACTCACCCAACCTCTCACTCACCGTGTACCTCGAGTGCTCGCCGAGCTGCATTGTATACAAAGTGCTTGCCACGATGAACCACAAAATATCGCTGATCTTGTCAAGGAGCATAAACCATTACGTGAACTCCGGTCACACTCACAGCAGCGGCTTTTGGCTAACTATCGAATAAAGACCACATCAGTTTAACACGTCGGCTTTTGCGAACAATATCATCCATAATAGTTTTTTTTGTTAGATCACGTCAATATAAATGTGTCATTAAACCCGCCACCACCCAACACAGCCAATTAGTAATGTTTGTCACGTAAACAGAACATGCCAATTCATTACCAGTATAGTACACTTACTAATTGGCTGTGTCGGGTGGTGGTGGTGGTTTTAACGACACATTTATACTTATGCGATCTAACCCAAAAAATATATATATTATGAAAGACCACATCACGTCAACGCATTGCTAGCTTTTAGGCCATCTGACGCACTTTTCCCTCTGATATTCGAAAGCCACCGGAATTATGCACTTTTAAATATTCTAGATTGACAAACTCATTTCTTTAGAACTCATTTTTGTGTACTCTTTGGGTCTTTCAGTAAAGTCACGTAGATAGAAAAATAATCAAATCAAATCACGACGTTTTGATCGCAACACAAGCAATCGTCTTCAGGTGAAAAAATACAGCAGGCGGACTGCTGATGCAGGAAGAAATATAGCGAGAGAGCTGCTGTAGCCATTGGTTATAAAGATTTGAGATTTAAGTGGGCGGGGCTAGAGATGGAATTTGCAAATAAATGTAAGATCGCAGAGCTAGGTATACCTCGGCCATTGTGTTGCTAGAGATTAGCATGTCAATCTGTTAATGTAACCCCACAGTGACGGTGCTGAATAAGCCATTGTATTGCTAGAGATTAGCATGTCAATGTGTAAATGTAACCCCACGGTGACGGTGCTGAAGAAGCCGTTGTATTGCTCGAGATTAGAGATTAGAATGTCAATGTGAGACGGCTCCCGCAGCAGCGGCTGTGTTAATGAGAGACATTCAGCCTATTAAACAACGAGCGACACTGCCGTATCGAGGAAAAGGGAGCAGCAGCTATGTTAGTGAGACATTTAGCCTGTTAATGTAAAGACATTTAACAAGGTAATGTAACTCAGAGAGTCGGGAATAACTGCTAACATAGGCAGGTAGGATGGAAGCATCACATCCAGTTATGAATTAACCTGGTTAATAACGTCCTTCCAATGGTTGCTCAGTTTGTACCCATCTTCTCGGTTGAATTGTGTCTGTGTTCATATATCTGGATGGCTTCATGAACAAATCTTTGTTGATAGCCAGTGGGTTTGCAGAGTACCTTCACCTTGTGTTAGTTTGTTGTCCTTCCCCCGCACTTCAGGTGAGCACGGTTGGCTACGTACGGCGCGGAAGAAGTTCAACAAACATACAAAGACAAAGATCCCCCATATAACCTTAACAGACTATTGGGTCAAGTGCTTTCAGCGAGCACCTGTGAAGGCCGGCACGGCACATGGTGGGGTAGGTGGCCAACACCACGCCCGGCCGCCTTTGTCTCCCCAGTGGTGATGTTTACACATCGCATCAGGTACTCATTTGAGGCTTAGTCAACCTAGGGGAGGCCCAGCACCAGTTCAGATAATCGTCACCGGCATTGGCCGTGAGCGGGAATCGAACCCGGGTCTCCAGGTTCATGGCGCAGCGCGTTAACCGCTACACTACCACTCTCCCCACACCCACCCAAGCACCCACCCAAGCACTGACCCACCCACCTTGTCTCCATCCTCTCCGGACGACCCCCCTGCCCCGTCCAGCCCCCCAAGCAGCCCCCCGCCCCCCACCGCTGAGTCGTGCACCCCCCCCGCGGAGCGCGGCACCTGGGGACTCACGCCGGGGGACGGCCCCTCGGGGGGGCCCACCCCGACCCCCCCAGGCCCCGCCCCGCCCCCCGGCGTGCTCAGCGACGACGTGGATGACGAGGAGGCCGGCGCCGCCGCCGTGGTGGCGGCCGACGAGGGGGAGGGGGAGGAGGAGGAAGCCACGGTGACGGAGGCGGTGGCCGATGAGGAAGCGAGCGAGGAGCCGGAGCCGCCCGACCGCGAAGCCGAACGCCGGCCAAGGCCTGTGGGCCGCGAGCGGATCTGCTGCAGCACCTGGGTGGGGTGGGGGGGGTGGGGTAGTGGGGTGGGGGCGTGGGGGAGGGGCGTGCAGGGAGAGACAAAGGTGGCCAGGGAGGGGAGTTCTACTCAGGGTCTCTCGAAGGGTTTCATGAATCTCGTTATCGTACATGGACCGACCACACTCCCGCCTCGCCCACTTGCCTGCCCACTCACCCGTCCACTCACGCGCCCACTAACCTGCCCACCCGCCCGCCCGCCCGCCTGCCAACTCTCGTCACCTTGTTGAACGCGCTGGGCCGGGCGGGCAGCTCCCTGAGCGACACGGCGTACGACACGCGGTGCAGCTCGGGCGAGCGCTCGCGCTCGGCGTGGCCAGGGGCCGCCACGTCCAGAGAACCGGTGCCGCCGCCGCCGCCGCCGCCGCCGCCCGCTCTGCGCCGATGACTCTGGAAGAGGTGCTTGAGGCCGTGTCCGAACGGCGTGGCGGAGTGGGACGGCTCGCCGCCGTGCGCCGGGCTAGACCGGCGGGAGGTGGCCGATCGCGCGGGACTGGGCGAGTGGCCGTCGGCGGGGCCCCGGTCCGGCGCCGTGGCCGGCTCGCCATCCCGGCCCTCCGGAGAGCCGGAACGGCGAGCTGGCCATGCCGCAGAACCCGCCGCACCGTCACCCACTGACTTGAGGCGCTTCATGGCTCGCGTGGGGTTGGGAGCGGCCGCTCCTGGGAACAGCGGCGACAGCAGCAGCATCGTAAGCAGTAGCGTGATCATTATCAACAGCAGTAGCAGCAGCAGCATCATCATCAGCAGTGTGAGCAGCATCATCCGCAGCATCATCCGCAGCATCATCAGCGGCATCAGCAGCAACAGAAGCATCATCATCAGACCGGGCTGAGAGCACCTTTCAGACTAGAAGGCACGCATCACTACCAACACCACCACTCCTACCATTACCTTTCCTATCACTACCAAGACATCATCACCATTACCAACAACCACCGCCGTTCGACACTCAGTGGCGGTGACGTCACCACGGCGCTTGTGACAGGCTAGGTGCACCTTGAGGCCAATTGAAGTGTTGAAGGCTCACTGGTAGGTTACGGGACAGACGCAAGTGCCATGGGTTGACTGACACAATTACTGCGACTGTCATCACCGCAATCATATTTACAATTACCATCAACAAGTCAACACAATTTCCCCCACCACCACCATCACATCAGCATGCACCCCATCACTATGATCATTACTACCACCAAAACGCCACCACCATCACCACAACATTACATAACCACCACATTAACACCACATCACCATCACCACCACCACCACATGAGGATAATTATTACACACACTATCACCACCATCACCACATCAACACTACTTCACTAGCACCATCACCACAAACACCATCAATACCACCATCGCCACACCATCACTATCACCACATGACAATGGCCACATTAACACTGCATCATCATAATCAACACCACATCACCATTAACACGATGAGTAACCACCCTCACCACATCAACACAACAGCACCACCATAATATTAACACTTATCACCATCACCACAATCATCACCACTCCCATCAAATCAACAAAATCATCAACATCACCGCACCAGCACTAACATCATCACCACAATATATATCAACCAAAACATTACCACATGACCACTATCACAAAATAAAATCCACCACTATCACCATCACCACATGAACACCATCACTTCCACCATCACATCAACTATTCATCACTACCACCATCCCCACATCAACACAACATCACTAGCACCATCAGATCAACACCACCACTAGCATCAACACTACATCACTGCCATCACCAAATCAACACTGCATCACTATTACCATCACCATATCAACAATACATCACTAGCACCATCATTACTACCATCACCATATCAACATATCACTAGCACCATCACTAACACCATCACATCACCACACAATCACCACCACCACATCACCACACCATCATCATCACCATCAGTGCCTTCAGCACCACGAGCAGCTCCCTCACCGCCGTTGCCGCCAATCAGCGACCACCCAGACACCGAACAGCGCGGTCGGTCAGGGGCCAGGGAGCGAGGGGGTTAGCGAGGGGATATCATAGAGGCTCCCCGTCACATTGACTCCCTCGCTCACCCACCCACTCACCCCGACTCACCCACCCACTTACTCCCACTAACCCCGACTCACCCACCCACTCACTCACCCACCCACCCCGACTCACCCACCCACTCACCCCCACTCACCCACCCACTCACCCCGACTCACCCACCCACTCGCCCCCACTCACCCACCCACTCACCCACCCACTCACCTGCACTTACCCCGACTCACCCACCCACTCACCCACCCACTCACCCCGACTCACCCACCCACTCACCTGCACTCACCCACCCACTCACCCCCACTCACCCACCCATTCACCCACTCACCCACCCACTCACCCCCACTCACCCACCCACCCACTCACCCACCCACTCACCTGCACTCACCCCGACTCACCCACCCACTCACCTGCACTCACCCCACTCACTCACCCACCCACTCACCCACTCACTCACCCACCCACTCACTCACCCACCCACTCACCCCACTCACCCACCCACCCACTCTCACCTTCGCTGGCGTCTCCTCTCACTCAATTAAGGCGGCAGAGGCGGTGCGGCTACCGCGGCCCCTCGTCCACCTGGGGTCCCCCTTGGGTCCCCCTCGGTCCACCTGGGGTCCCCCTTGGGTCCCCCTCGGTCCCCCTGGGGTCCCCCTTTGATGCCCTGGGCCCCCACGAACGAGACCAGAGCCATGGAAGGGGGAAACCCAAGAAACGAGTGACGTCATTGTAAACAAGACGTGACGTCATTGATGTGGAAATTCAAGATAGGGTGACGTCACTAGCATGTTACGTTTTTTCACCCCCTAAAAACGCGTGACTTCATGGCGTGGCAACCATTCGTGTGACGTCATTGCAGATACAAGTACGGTATTGTACACTATGTTGAACGTTCTTTGCACTGTACGTAGCCAACCGTGCTCGTCATCAGCGCGTCTGTAATAAAACAATGGCGTGCGTGTTACAATCACGAAGACTGGCGCAATTGCACATAACCCAAAAAGCGTGACGTAAGTAGCGCGACAGCTGCAAGGCGCGTGACGTCATTTACGTGGAAAGTCACCGCAGTCTTGACGACACCTGCATGTGGTGGAGGGGGGGACATTCAGTCATCGCAAGCCGTTGAAGCGCGTGGCGTCATTTGTGTACAGCGCTTAAAGATGAGTATGACGTCATCTGTGTGACTCAAGGAAATGCGTGACCTCATCATCAGACATGGTCCATCCACTGCTGGACGAGTCGTCCCCAAAGTCTCCGTCACCCCTCACGATCCTGCGAAGCAGCGATCCCTCCCAATTGGCAACGTTTCGGTGCAACTGCCCTTATTCGTGTATGCGCTGTCTCCCTTGATACTGGTTTCATTTTAATGGTCGCGCAGTGTTGGTGACGGACACGTGCTGGGTTGTTGCTGTTGACTGATCCTGTTGGCTGTGCACCGCTGCCATCACCACGGGGGAATTCCTCACCGCGCACCATCACCGTTCACCCCCAAACAAAGAAAAAGATCCCCCGTGTAGCCTGTAACAATGTTAGGGCAAGTGCTGTTAGCGAGTGGCACCGATTAAGGCCGGCACTGTGGCACACGATGGGATGGGTGCCCAGCGCCACGCCCGGCCGCCTTTGTCTCCCCAGTGGCGATGTTTGTGGCTGAGTCGACCTGGGGGAGGCCCAGGACCGGCTCACCGCCACGCTACTGCCCCCCACCACCATCAATACTAACAGCCGCCATTCGCCACTAAGTGGCGGTGATGTCACCACGTCGCCTGTGCCAGGCTAGGTGCACTTTGAGGCGACCACGTGAAGTGTCAAAGGCTCGCTGCTGGCGGCAGGTCACGGAGCAGACCCAGCGGGTGGCAATGGGGTTGACTGACCGAGATGACACCTGGCCGATGCACCCCCACCTGTAACAAGAGGCTGTCGTCCAAAGGCGACTTCCACACAGAGAAGAGGGGGGGGGGATCGCCCCCTCCCTGCCACGGCAGTCATCTCCACTGCATTTTCAGAGGCGGTTGGTGGGCCCCTCCTTGAGCCGATCAGACATCACCAGTGCGAGGGTGGTCGCAAGCCGCCCGCGAGACAAAATCATTCCATTCCTAAACGCAATGAATGTTACACAGCAGCTGGGTGAACTCGAGCAGGCGTCTGCGTTTAAGAATCGGTGTTTCACCCATCGTGCTCAGACGTTCAAACACCAAACAGAAACTTTTTGCTTGGAATGAAGTGCTGCATTAAGTACACGGCAGTACTTGTAGGTTGAATATGCGGCCGATATTATTATATTAGCAGAGCATGGCTTTTTTTCGGCATGTTCACCACGAGCACGTGTGGTCAATGCTGACATGATTCCTTGCAAAAAGGTGTCTGGTGTTTGAACGTCTTAACACAACTCCTGTTTTGTACGCCAGAAAGGGTGAAACATCTATCATTATACTTTGATACTGGCAAGGAAGGTCCCATGTTGATGCTGCTCACCCCAAGCTATAAATGCCCGTCTAGTGCATTGTCCTTGTACTGTTCGCCTTTTCGCGTTCTCTCGTCTAACACTGGTAGTGAGACTATGCCCTAAAGAAGGCTGTCTCTGGTGTAGACCAATCCGTTTCAAAGACAATGCACCACATATCATCAGAGCATGCGTTTCTTTGCGTGTTCACCACAGATACTGCCTGTGGTTAACGCAGTGCTTGATTCCTTGTGTAGTGGAGTAGAAGATACACATGGGTAAATTGGCCATATACAATACATACAAACAGTGTGGGTCATGTAAGGTCGGGCAGGTGATGAAGTCACGGGTGGCGTAAGCAAGCCAAAGTAATTAAGGGAGTCAAGGGACGAGGGCTGTGATTGGTCGAGAGGCTGTTAGCGTTAAGTGGCGGCGTCACGGAGTCTGGGCCGTTGGACAGGTGCGGAGCTGGCGGGAAAATGCCAGCGAGGCACGTGGCAATTAATTAAGGCTGATTGGAAAGGGGATAAAAACGCTAGGTGATTTGGACGGCGGGGGAGTTGTTGGCGAGAAGTGGAGACAGCAGCGGGTAGAGAGCGATGCGAAGAGGCGAAGCCGGCAAGTTTTAGTGGGAAATAGATTGAGAGCCGAACCCAGAGGACAATAAATAGCGAAAGCGAGAGTTAGCGTTAGCAGAGTGGAGATTAGGGTATAGGTAGGTACAGGGAGAGTTTGCGATAGATAAGTCACTGTGTGTGAAGAGATAGATAAGTCACTGTGTGTGAAGAGATGGATAAGTCACTGTGTGTGAAGAGATAGATAAGTCACTGTGTGTGAAGAGATAGATGAGTCACTGTGTGTGAAGAGATAGACAAGTCACTGTGTGTGAAGAGATAGACAAGTCGCTGTGTGTGAAGAGATAGACAAGTCACTGTGTGTGAAGAGATAGACAAGTCGCTGTGTGTGAGGAGATAGACGAGTCACTGTGTGTGAGGAGATAGACGAGTCACTGTGTGTGAAGAGATAGACGAGTCGCTGTGTGTGAAGAGATAGACGAGTCGCCGAGTGTGAAGAGATAGACGGGTCACTGTGTGAAGAGATAGACGGGTCACTGTGTGTGAGGAGATAGACGAGTCACTGTGTGTGAGGAGATAGACGAGTCACTGTGTGTGAGGAGATAGACGAGTCACTGTGTGTGAAGAGATAGACGAGTCACTGTGTGTGAGGAGATAGGCGAGTCACTGTGTGTGAGGAGATAGACGAGTCACTGTGTGTGAGGAGATAGACAGGTCACTGTGTGAAGAGATAGACAGGTCACTGTGTGAGGAGATAGACGAGTCACTGCGTGTGAGGAGATAGACGAGTCACTGTGTGTGAGGAGATAGACGAGTCACTGTGTGAGGAGATAGACGAGTCACTGTGTGAGGAGATAGACGAGTCACTGTGTGTGAAGAGATAGACGAGTCGCTGTGTGTGAAGAGATAGACGAGTCGCTGTGTGTGAAGAGATAGACGAGTCGCTGTGTGTGAAGAGATAGACGAGTCACTGTGTGTGAAGAGATAGACGAGTCACTGTGTGTGAGGAGATAGACGAGTCACTGTGTGTGAGGAAATAGACGAGTCGCTGTGTGTGAGGAGATAGACGAGTCACTGTGTGAGAGGAGATAGACGAGTCACTGTGTGAGAGGAGATAGACGAGTCACTGTGTGTGAGGAGATAGACGAGTCACTGTGTGTGAGGAGATAGACGAGTCGCTGTGTGTGAAGAGATAGACGAGTCACTGTGTGAAGAGATAGACGAGTCGCTGTGTGAGGAGATAGACGAGTCGCTGTGTGAGGAGATAGACGAGTCGCTGTGTGAGGAGATAGACGAGTCGCTGTGTGAGGAGATAGACGAGTCGCTGTGTGTGAGGAGATAGACGAGTCGCTGTGTGTGAGGAGATAGACGAGTCGCTGTGTGTGAGGAGATAGACGAGTCGCTGTGTGTGAAGAGATAGACAGGTCACTGTGTGAAGAGATAGACGAGTCACTGTGTGTGAAGAGATAGACGAGTGACTGTGTGAGGAGATAGACGAGTCACTGTGTGAGGAGATAGACGAGTCGCTGTGTGTGAGGAGATAGACGAGTCGCTGTGTGTGAGGAGATAGACGAGTCGCTGTGTGTGAGGAGATAGACGAGTCGCTGTGTGTGAGGAGATAGACGAGTCGCTGTGTGTCAGGAGATAGACGAGTCGCTGTGTGTGAGGAGACAGACGAGTCGCTGTGTGTGAGGAGATAGACGAGTCGCTGTGTGTGAGGAGATAGACGAGTCGCTGTGTGTGAGGAGATAGACGAGTCGCTGTGTGTGAAGAGATAGACAGGTCACTGTGTGTGAAGAGATAGACGAGTCACTGTGTGTGAGGAGATAGACGAGTCACTGTGTGTGAGGAGATAGACGAGTCACTGTGTGAGGAGATAGACGAGTCACTGTGTGAGGAGATAGACGAGTCGCTGTGTGTGAGGAGATAGACGAGTCACTGTGTGTGAGGAGAGAGACGAGTCACTGTGTGTGCGGAGGTAGATAAGTCGCTGTGTGAAGAGATAGACGAGTCACTGTGTGTGAGGAGATAGACGAGTCGTGTGTGAAGAGATAGACAGTCACTGTGCGTGAGGAGATAGACAGGTCACTGTGTGTGAAGAGATAGACAAGTCACTGTGTGAGAATAGATAGACGAGTCACTGTGTGAGGAGATAGACGAGTCACTGTGTGAGGAGATAGACAAGTCGCTGTGTGTGAAGAGATAGTCACTGTGTGTGAGGAGATAGACGAGTCGTGTGTGAAGAGATAGACAGGTCACTGTGTGAAGAGATAGACAAGTCACTGTGTGAAGAGATAGACAAGTCACTGTGTGAAGAGATAGACAAGTCACTGTGTGACGAGATAGACAGGTCACTGTGTGTGAGGAGATAGACAAGTCACTGTGTGTGAGGAGATAGACAAGTCACTGTGTGTGAAGAGATAGACAGGTTACTGTGTGAAGAGATAGACGAGTCACTGTGTGTGAAGAGATAGACGAGTCAGTGTGTGACGAGATAGACAGGTCACTGTGTGTGAAGAGATAGACAAGTCACTGTGTGAGGAGATAGACAGGTCACTGTGTGTGAAGAGATAGACAGTCACTGTGTGAGGAGATAGACGAGTCGTGTGTGAAGAGATAGACAGGTCACTGTGTGTGAAGAGATAGACAAGTCGCTGTGTGTGAGGAGATAGACAAGTCACTATGTGAGGAGATAGACGAGTCACTGTGTGTGAAGAGATAGACAGAGTCACTGTGTGTGAGGAGATAGACGAGTCACTGTGTGTGAGGAGATAGACAAGTTACTGTGTGTGAAGAGATAGACAGGTCACTGTGTGAAGAGATAGACCAGTGGTTCTTAACCTTGTTGGAGGTACCGAACCCCACCAGTTTCATATGCGCATTCACCGAACCCCTCTTTAGTGAAAAATAAAATGTGATTTTTTTTCAAATTCAAGACATAGATATGTTTTTTACTGGTACACAAAATGAGCCGTGCA